TTTTAAAATAGTTAATTTAAAACTAATATCGATATATTTTTTTAAAATTTATATTTTATTAAAAATTAAAACCATTATCATTTTAAAAAAAAATCATATTATATCGACATAGATAAAAAAATAAAATAAAATATTAAAATCAAGATGTATCTCACTGTATTACGGCGATACCTTCTAATATGCTTAAATATGTAGGCAGAAATTAAGAGGGTTTTTGGGATTGCTTATTTAAAACAATTTATATTTTTTTATAAAAATGTTTATCAACTTATTATATATCAGAATATTTTAAATTATTCAAAAACTTTTTATTTACCAATTTGATACTGGTATAAATGTTTATTAGTAATGTTATATCGGAATAAATTAATAAATTATTTTTTATAAACAATGTAAAACAGAAACGAAATGGTTTAAAAAAGAGATTACGACATAATTATGTCCTCCCAATCTTCACGGCTCGAGATTACCGAACGAGGACAAACACTCCACCAATACGCTTTTTGGACTTCTTTACAGCCGTTGGTTCTTTTTTTAGAAGCTCTCTCTCACCTTTCTCTTTCTTTTTTCATCAAAATCATTGAGGTTGACTTCCTTCCTTCCTTCCTTCCTTCTTCATTATTCAAACCTACCCACTTCGATATCGATTATCGAAGTGGGTGTTTCAAATTCTCACCTGATTATGAGTCATTTTTGAAAAAGATTGTTTCTTCACTCATTCCTCACATTCGTAACTCTTTCGAGATTTCTGGGTCCAAACCAATCGCAGTGGAGTTCTTATGATTTGGGTTTTCTGGTCTTGTATTCAGCTTTCTTGATTTTGCTGGGATTATTAATCTTTCCCCCCAAGTTCTGGAAAAAGGTTGAGTTTTTGAATCTAACCATGGTTAGTGTGAAGGAGTTTCTGGCAAACAAGACTGTGGTAGGTCTCTTGTTGGGACAAATTCTCTCTCTCCTCATCACTTCCACTGGATTTTCATCATCTGAGCTTGCTAGAAGAGGTTTGTATTGTTCATTATTTGGGGCTCCACTTATAATCTCATTTCATTTGTTGTTTTTGGGGGTTTTCCAATAATAGAAACAAAATTGAGCTTCTTGAAGCTACCTGTTTATGTGAATGATTGATTTCCCATAAAAGTAATAATATTGAAATGGGCATAAAAGGGGGGTTTTGTTTGTATAAACAGTACAACACTCTGTTTTTATCTTCTCTTTTATCATGTGAAAAGTCAAGGTATTTGATGCTGTATTAGTTGTAATTTACTTTACTTTACTTTGTGCTTTATTATTTGATTGAGTCATTAACTATTTGAACCACTGTAACTGACTTTTCACTGCAAATTAACCATCTTTATTGTGAAAAATGCCAAAAACACACTGTAATTTGCAAGAGTGAGCTATTTTGGACAATATTTTGAGGTTTGTAAATACAAAAAGATCATAAAATCACTCATTTTGCAAAATTTAGTTTTATTTTATGTATTTATGCAACAACGGTGGTTCGTTTACATCAAAAAACCAAGTATGAAAATTCAAATACATAAATAGATATTTATTTGGGGATCCCCCTCAGAAGTCAAGTCGAGATGTAAGGTGGCCCAGACACCGGTAGTTAACAAAAAAATACATAAATAGATACAAGATTAATGTCTTTTAGACACATGGTTAGCCATCAAACTTGTTATGCTTGTTGTGAAGTGTGTAGTATTGCATTGTGCATATAAAATTTATATTTGTGTTGCTTATTGCTGGTTTCTGTCCTCAGATCCATACCGTTTGTGGGTTTTTGTAGACAGGATCAGTGTACTTTATAACACTATTGTGCTGTAAAAATGCTTAGTATTTGATGTTATACGTTCTAATGTACTTGTATTTTTCAACTTAGGAATCAATGCACCTACTTCACAGTCTTTAGCAAACTATGTGATGTTGGCGGTAGTTTATGGAGGAATTCTAATACACAGGGGGCGTGGGCTTAAGGTTAGTTATCTTCAATCTTTTTCTTATTCACATGTGATGGTTAAAGTTGATCGGTTTATTTCATTATGATGAAACTTCTACGTACTACGAAGCTAATGGTCGCTGTTTCTTCCTTCGATATAAAAAATTCCCTTGATAAACTGGGATAAGGACCCTTCCACCAAACAAGAAGAGAAAAGGAAAGAACAACAAAGAAAGGTTTGGAGCCAGGAACATATTAATGGTCAAAATGTGTTCTTGGGATTAATCTTGATTAGACTGGACATGACTGGACAAGCAAGAGTGAGGTAGACAGGTGAAAGTATTGTGGAAGATTTAAGGGTTTTAATTTGATATGGGTAGTTTAGTAGTTTAAAAATTGCATTTTAGTCCCACTCAAGTCCTTTCTGTTCCAGTCTAATGTTGCACCAAACATGGGATAAGAAGTTTTTGTACTGTTCTATTCTGTCCGGTCCCACGTACCAGATAGTGCTGGTACAAATTCATGGTAGCATGTTATCCTTTGATTTCGGTGTCTTCACTTTTAGATATTTGTTCTAACGATTTCTCTTCGCAAGTACCATTTGACGAATTCTCATTCCATTTTATGTATACTTTTGCAGGCCAAATGGTATTATTATCTACTTCTTGGACTTGTAGATGTAGAGGCAAATTATCTTGGTAAGCGGTCTGCAACGATAATGATTATTCTCCCCCTAAAATGATCCTTAGATTATGTTTTTTGTAGATGGTCAAAGTAACTTAAGCGCATAAGTGCAAAAGGTGTTAACTTTTGTGTGTTTTGATGAACAGTGGTGAAGGCATATCAGTACACATCAATAACGAGTATAATGTTGCTCGATTGTTGGTCAATCCCTTCTGTCATACTGCTCACTTGGCTCTTCCTAAAGACAAAATACAGGTTCAAGAAAATTGCCGGTGTTGCCATTTGTGTTGCTGGTCTTGTGCTCGTTATTTTTTCAGATGTTCATGCAGCAGACAGGTCACGTGAGTATATGTCATACCCAAACACGCTTGTTTTTTATGGAGTTATCGAACTTAGCTCTGTGTGTTTATTTTCAGCTTATCTTCCATTGTGAAAATTCTGCAATATAGTGCACTTTAAATATATGTGTTTAAATTGATCATATATGTGTTTTACATTCTCAGAAAATGGGAGCAGCCCTATTAAAGGGGACTTCCTGGTGGTTGCCGGGGCTACGCTGTATGCTGTCAGCAACGTCAGTGAGGTGAGCATCTTGTTATGTGTTATCACTCTGTTTATGCATGAATTGAGGGGAATTGCATTTCTCCACAATACATGTTGGAACCTCCTTTCTCTCTTCAAGGGCTCTTTTGGAGGGTAATCTAATGGGGTTCCATATATTCTCACATGGTACTGTAGGGCAATCCGTACTCCTTTAGCCCCCTGTCGACACTTTGGGACTATTTGTGCCCGTCTAACCTCCTTTGGACGGGGCGTGTTAGAGTCCCACATCAGCTAAACTTGGACCATAGCGTCGTTCTCTCCTCAACGGCTCTTTTAGAAAGTAATCTAATCGGGTTCCATGTACTCCCTCTTTTGGTCAAAGGAGTTCCTTATCAATTTCTTGAAGGGTCGGGCCTATAAATACATAATATCACGTTTAGTTGTGTATAGATTCATATTCATCCGTTGTTATGATATGCTAATTTAAACATATATTCACCAAAATCAACTTGATAAGATGACATCTAAGTTTGTGAAGACTGATCTCCGTTCTTGGCTTTGTGCAGGAGTTCTTTGTGACAACTGCAGACAGGATTGAACTCATGGCAATGTTGGGATTCTTTGGTGCTATTGTCAGTGGTATTCAAATGTATCCTTGAGACATAGTTATGGCATCTATCAATATAATCAAATTGCATTGGTCAAACCGGTTTAAATTTGGATCACTAATTGATACGTTTTAAGCATGATTTGATGATTGTTGATTATGCAAGCAAACCGGCATAGTGAAAATGGCAATGGACAAAAGCTTCACTTTTTGTATTCTTTAACAATTTCGATAGAACCATACTTGAGCGAGAGGAACTCAAATCTATCCACTGGTCATCAGGAGCAGTAAGCTCTTCGTCTTTCTCTATACATATACATATACAGAGGAAAGTTCATTTAGGAACCAGTAAATATTTTGAGAACCAGCTATTCATGAATTAATTTATGACGAGTATCCCTAGATATTAATGAATACTATTCATTATGAATATCATTCATTTTCATTATTCATAATGAATAATATTCGTTAATATTTAGGTATATTCATCATGAATAATTCATAAATAGTTGGTTCTCAGAGTTCTCAAATGAAGGTGCCTTCACCTATGCATATACATATACATATACATAGATGTATATGTATATGTGTGTATGTAAATATATACATATTGGGAGGTTTAAATAATAAGGCTAAATATCGTGAGAAGGTAAGGAGTAAAGGTTCATATGTGAACCAATGTTACAAATTATTCATATGGGTTTGTATATGCATCTTCAAATAGATTTTTCAGTGATTCATAGATGAATTTTCTCTTAACCTTTCCTTCTTACTTTCTCATGATATTTAGCCTTGTTATTGAATCAATACATCCACCTTTACATATACATATGTATATGTGGGGTTGGGTTCCGGTGACAATGAGAGTTAAGGTAAGAAACGTAAGAAGGGATCTCCACCCTTGGATGCACATGCACATTAGGATGAATGCACTGGATCAATCTCCGTATTAAACGCGATTCATGGGTGGGTTTGAGATTAAAGGTGATCAAGGGTCGAGATCCTTTCTTACACTTCTCACCTTAACTCTCCTTCTCACACGATCCTTCGCATGTATATGTGTGTGTATTTAACTATGTATATGCATTATACACAGGTTCGGTAATAGGAGCTAAATGACAAAATTAACCTCATATTGGATCTTGTACCTTGATGGGTTATTAATATGCATTTAAACTTCATATAAAGCAAATCATATTTTCCTGTTGAGTTCTAATCTTAGATGCCATTTTTTTTACTTTTAGTTGCTTCCTTATACCGGATTTGCAGCAGCAATGTTTCTATTTTATTCGGGCGTGCCCGTTCTGCTGAAGGTAATGGCTGCAAAAATTTATTACTCCATCTATGAATTGAAAACTGCAATATTTCTGTTTTTGGAAAGTTTTCACGTTACAGCTAGTCAGCCACTCCCTCCGTCCCAAAATAAGTGTCCACGTTTCTATTTTAGTTTGTCCCAAATTAAATGTCCACTTTCATTACTCCCTTTGTTATTAGGGGTGAAATTGTCATTTAGTTGCTCAATAAGTGTAATAATTGAACATTTCTAAAACAAAACAATGTCTTTTCCATTGTGGACATTTATTTTGAGACAGAGGTTATTAGGGGTAAAATTGTCATTACTTCTTTGTTATGAGGGGTAAAATGGTCATTAAGTACCTTTTTGCTCATTGTCAAAGCCAAGATTTCTTTATTTTGCCATCATTGGAGGGTATCATTTCAAACTACATATATCTCATCTTTGTTCATGTTAATGCAATTGCAGATGAGCGGCTCTACGATGCTAAATCTGTCTTTGCTGACGTCTGACATGTGGTCGGTCTTGATCCGTATATTTGCATACCATGAAAAGGTTTGTTTGTAACAATAGAAACGTTCTTACGAATATGGGGTGGAACTTGTATCAACTTTAAACAACAATGACATCCTTTAGATTTTAGATTCGGGGTCTTTTACTTTTAACTGTAACAGCCGCTCTACTTCTTGGGTAGAAAACAGGTCTGCGTACATCCCATCCCCAGACCCCACCTCCCGGTTCATTTGGTTCAGTTTTGAAGTATCGTTTGCAAAGTTTGTGAATTTTTCTATGCTGATTTTGACTTCAATCATCAGGTCGATTGGATGTATTTCGTAGCTTTTGCTGCTGTCGCTGTAGGGCTCGTTGTTTATTCAGGGTACGTTTTTGAAGCTCCTCCAAATGTTCAGAAACAACTGTTCTTTTCTGCATTCAGACCATGAAAGTTTCTTAATACAATGTCTACTATATGTCAAATGTCCAAAACACCCTTCATTAATAACAAAACAGGAAATCTTGGACAACCAAAAGCAATACGTACTTCCTTATGATGACAATAGACAAAAGTGCACAGTTTGCTGAGTTTAAACGATGATCTTGATGTGTTTGCAGGTTCGATAAAGAAACCCGTTCAGAGGTTGCAGATGGAACAGAACAAAGCAAATATTTAGATGAGGAAGCCGGTGTCACGAGCTCAAGTAAACCAAACGTAGCGTCTAGTAGCAGTAACAAGCATGAGTTTGCTTCGACCAGCAAAACAAACACCGAAAGCAGCATTTACAAAGGAAAAGATTCGCCGATCAAGAAGATTTGATCTCGGAGATGATTTTTACAGGAAGAAAAGAGAAGTAATTTATGATGAACATGTAGTGCAAATTGCATGAAAGTATGTTGAAAGTGGCCTCAAGGATGCCACTGTTTGATTTTTGCTGAAGCTTTTTTACTGTTACCAATAGCATTTCATAGTCTAGGAGTGGAGTTTGTATGCTACTTTGAGTTTTTTTTTATACCAACCAATTATAATTGATATGTAAAATCATATATTATGCACCAAGTTACCAACTAACTGCAACTGATACCATCTTTTTCGGGTTGATACTGGTTTTGTATCAATTTCAAGTTACATATATTAAAACTTGCAATTTTGTGTGACATTTTGAGTTTACAAGCAAATACATGTCATGTTTAAGACATAAATTACTTGCATTTTCCCCCTGAAACAACATAGCATACAACACCAAACTAGAGTTGCCCTATTATCAACTATATGACTTATTATCATTATTGTTATTCAAGTAAACTTAACATCACAAATCAGGTGCAACACCATTTCACATCACGCATTTCTTTATTCTTTAATCATCCTTCGGCGTTTAATCAATTCGTCTACTTGCATCAGCGCGAGTCCTGGTTAGCCGTTTGCGCCTCGCTCTCGGAAATAAGAGCTGTTGGATCTGTTTTTCTGCTGCGGTTTCTGATGTCACCTGCAAATTCAAACATAGAAACAACCTCTTCTCAAATTTGAATACTGTTTAATCGAATGGATCTTCTAAGAAAATACATGACTCACATCAAGATGTTCCAAATTGGAACACTGTTCACGCTTTTCACCTCGGTTTTCTGAAAGTGTTAGTTTTTCGCTACCTTTGATCTAGGTTTAGTTTTTCGCTACCTTTGATCTAGGTTTTGCTATGGTCTGATTCATTTCAGCCATGGGTCCCGTTTACATGGTATGAAAAAACACAAGGATCAAAACCACAAGGGTTGTGGCGTAGTGGTTGAAATCCTGGGGGATGCGGTGGAATATCCCATATACCCAGGGTTTGATTCCAGGCTTACACAACAATCGTGGTCACTAAGTTTACCACGGCTGATTTCTTGAGGTCATAATTTGCCGGGATTAGTCCAAGCATAGCCTTGGACACCCTTCCAAGAAAAACATAAAGATCAATTCACAAAATAGGTAACCACATTTCTATGATGTGTGATTTTCATGGGAAAAGCACAAAAAAATGGAAAAATAAGGAGCACCCTAATAACCATTCATTTCTCCACTATGCACATGTACATAATAGTAATTGAATAAGTTTCCTAGTTCCTATGTACGTGTGCCTTTTATGCACATGTGCATACCTAATAAATTACTTTTATGCACATGCGCATACCGGACAAATAAATGGTTAATAGGGTGTTCCTTAATTTTCCATTTTTTGGTGGTTTTCCCGTTAACCCAACCCGTCTGATTAATTACCCGAATCTTGAAGGGAAAACGATGAGTTCGCACTTCATGCCCAGTGAAAACTCTAACATCCATGCCAAGACTATCAACACCAATTATATTTGCTTCCTGTAATGAGACCAAACCAGATACTTAAAAGAAGGATTCATGTGTTCAATTTATATTTTTATATTCGAACAAATGATTTGCAAAAATAAATTTCATAACGGACGAATAAATAAGAAAGTTGCTACCTCAACAAGAAATCCGTTCTTTTTGCATAGCGCTCTAAGAGCAAGATTACAGTGCATTGTGTTGTCACTGAAGTGTGCAACGATCTCAGGAATCGAGTGTACAAGAATATCTGGCTCAGCTTCTCTGAAATCTTGCAAACTTATTGCCGACTGTACAAACAAATAAAATATTTACGTCAAACTGACTCTCTCCAAAATGACAAATCAGGAGAATCTTGTAGACCATAATCGAAGCCATCGATGTTTTTCAACAATCATTAATGGCAAAGAGGAAATCCCTCCGTCCCAAAAATAAATGTATAAAATGAAAAAGATGCAGGGTTTTAAGAATGTGTAATTATTATACTTTTTAATCAACTAAATTACAATTATACCCTCAAAGTAGACACCTATTTCGGGAAGGAGCTAGTATTTCCAAATTTACATGTTACCGGAAAGGGAAATGTAACAAATGCTGCATTCATTTTAAGGCATCCGAAAAGGGAAACCATTGTACTCCATCCGTTCCAAAATAAGTGTCCATATTTCTATTTTAGTTTGTCCCAAAATAAGGGTCCACTTTCAAAAGTAAATGTTTATTTTCACATTCTACCCTTGGAGAAAATTTCTCTTGTTATTAAGCGTAAAATTGTCCTTTGATCAATTAAAAAAGTGTAATAATTACAGATTCCTAAAACTGTGTCATTTTCATCACGGACATTTATTTTGGGATGGAGGGTGTATTTATTTTGGCATGGGGAGTATATTCTATCATGTGTTACTAATTAGTACATGCCTGGACACCATATACGGAGAACAACTCTATTCTCATAATCTCCAATCGGTAGAAAATTGAGGCACTGCAGTTTACTTCTTCGTCTGCACATGAAAAAATATAAGTTGTATGTTTAAAACTCCATTGGATCAAGTAAAGCAACAACTTTCACGTTTCAACCATTATATACTTGCATATATATATATATATATATATATATATATATATACAGTTATATACGTAAGGTTAAGAGAAGATAGGATGGGAAAATAGGCAAGAATCTTGACTAAGGAAGTTGATGTGAAACCTTTCCAGTTACGGTCATAGCTATTGCCATCTTCAATACTGAAGAGCCTTCGTAGATATAATTCTTCGTCAACGAAAGCTGGACTGAGGCATCCGAGAACGGAAACCCCATTTGAGGGATGGTCCATCCTTCTAGCATACTCCATATTAGCAGCCTGCAAGTAAAGGTTGATTTAAAAACTTGACGAATTCATTTTACTCGGTGCAATTTGCAGAACACAGAGATATACTACTTCCTCCATAAAAAAATAATATCCACAATGAAAAAGGCATACAGTTTTAGAAACGTGTAATTATTACACTTTTTAGTTAAATAAATGACAATTTTGCCCTTAATAATAGATGGAGTCATGAATTTCTGCAACTCAAAACTAAGGGTAGAATTGAAAATTGAGACGAATTAAAATAAAAATGTGGACGTTAATTTTGGGAAAGAGAGTAGCTACCAAGAAGCATTCACCTTTGTCAAACACTTGGCAAAATAGATGGGATGGACCCCGGCAGTATCGATCGGTGTACTCCATTCTATAAAGCCACCCAACACCTCATCCTACCAAAACAAAGAGAGCATATCTGAAAGAAGAAAACAACTAAAAATCTAAACCCCAAAAGGTAGGATAGTGTTTTGATTTCTTACCTCGTAGTAATCATCGAAGAAAGGAATATCATCAATAGAGTTATCAGAAATATGACTCTCGGGAACGGATAACAGTTGATTCTCAAAAAGTGGAATATCCATTCCAAATAAAGCATTCTGAAGGTATGCAATTATGTAAGTATCGATACCAATGATGTACGGTTCACAAAGAATAACAGAAATACAAACATTTCCGTGCTAGAATCGCAAGCTAAGATGATTAAGGTGAAAGTTCTACCACCGGGTTACTTGCTTCAGGATCTTGCATGATGTTTGCATCATCAGGGACCTTGAAGTATATATCTGAAGGAGCGAGAGGAGAATATAAACAAGGATTTAGTATTAAAGATATGTGGAAAAAATTACTTGTTACTACTGTCCAGTAAATAATGGGGAGAAGCCAAACCTCCGCCTTCGTCAATGACATAAGGATATTCTGCCCATGAGATGTGCTCATGTGGTTCAGAGTGTATTGTACCAGGGAAAATCAACAACGCGCTGGTGTTGGCCTAAAACAACAAAAGTAGACCATAATTTGAGAATAGACTAGATACACTAAGTAAGCAAATGAGTAAACCAAACTAAAGAAAACTGACCAAATAAATCCCACTAAGCAAAATGACTATTTTATGCAATCAGTAATTGGAGTTTAATACGTCACAACGATCAACAAGGATACTCGTTAAGGCTATCTATGGCAAATTAGTTGATGGCTGAAAAATTAGGTGTTGGTTAATAAAAATAAGCTAGATGACAAATGTAAAATGACCTAAAAGGGTATGTTGAAAATTTAATTGGAAAAATACAAGGAGCATAATTAGGAAAAAGTGGAATCCCCCGACCCCACCCCCCACCCCCGGGACCCCTTCAAACTTATTGAAACGCTACTTGACATAGCATTTCAAAAGGCTAGATTATCGGCTAGTTTATGAATAACCAAACAGGGCTTAATTAATAAGCACAAAAATAAGCTAGCTTATGGTTGCCATGGCTTAAAACTGTTGGGAAAGGTTGAGAGATAAGAACCTCAATAGTTGTCTTTGCTATCTCTGCACCAGTCAGCTTAGTTTCACGAACTCTTTTGCAATTTTTTAGTTCTTCAAGTGGATGATATCCATTCTTCGCAACATAACTAGATGATTCCGGTACTGAATCTGGGTAGTCTGCAGCAACAGAAACTTTGAACAAGCAATTTTTACGACCAATAGGCCACCAATTGAATTGGGCATCTCCAAGAAACGGGTTTTTGTATCTGAATCTGAATAAATGGGCATAACCAATTTTAAGTACTATTCGTATTAACCATTTAACATTTTTCATATTTGTGGTGTCAAATAATCCCATATCAACTTATCAATTATCATTCATGATTCATCAAAAGATCCTCCCTAAATCAATTAATTGGTAAAATTGTTATGTATGCACCTTGCTTCTGAATTATCAGAAGTTCTTGGAATCTCGGTAGAAGATCTCATCCAATTGCTAGTGACTCCATACGATGTAGAGCAACCAATGCCTTCAGAATGACAAACATGGCACCATGAAGGACCTGAAATCAATCAAATAAAGTCCAATTCTAGTTCACTAAATAGTGCAAACTTGGTGGAGTGACCAAAATGAATATAACCAATCTATGGTAAACTATCAGCGGTCATTGCACAAATTCTCAATTTTTTAGCGACAAACAATCAAAACGGGCATGATATAGTTGTACCATATGGAAAATGTGTATTATCGCGTGCACATCGAGTATTTAACAGTGATAGCTTACCATCTTTTTTCACACAATACTAACACATAGATGTGTTTGCCATTGAGGTTTAATGCAATGACAGCTTACCATCTTTGTGTTTACATATTGGTATACCCTACAAGTATTAATCATTCAAGAAAAGAAGTCATGACACAATTTACAGCAATACTAATACTGCTAAAAGAAGTGTTCACAACATGCATACATTGGCCCCACTGAACAAGGCACCAGGTTTTATCTATCATGATAACCGTGGGACCAGTACGATGGGTTAAGAATTTAGGGTTTTTACCGTCAAGAGAAAACCCCACAAAATGGTAGAGAATGCAAAGTCAGAACACACAAAAATATATAAACTTGTAGGAGGGTCACATTTAGGGGAAATTATGCTACTTCATCAACCTCCTCAAGTCACCAACTCTCAATCACAATAGCACATTTTCTTGATCTTCATAAAACTTTGGAAATAGGGTTCTAAAATTTTAGCCTTCCTTACTGCATAAATCAAAGAATTTGATCATATAATAAGGGTTTCCATAGAAACATAAGATTTGGCAAATCACAAAGTAAACAAATTTTTGGGGCTCCTACAAATTTCATTGTATGATCCAATTGGTCAAACGGGTATCCATAAAACTAAATCAGAATCAAAAACGCCCTCAGACGTCGACCTCAAGTTTATGTAAGTAAAGCCATATGATCTCACATACTTCAAAAAAAACAGAGAGGAAAACTTGCAGTAAAATCTGCATGTAAAACAATAAATCAGAAGTGGGATTCAGCTTTGGAGTTACCCATGGAAATAAAGTGAGGTGCTGCAATCACCATGTGATGAAATAGATAGGTATCGCTATAAGCTGAAGTTGGCAGCAAATTTCATGATCGAAAGCTGCAAACTGCTGGCGATTTTCTGCAGATTTTGCTAACGCTTGTGTGGAGAGAGAGAGAGAGAGAGAGATTTGGGGTGTGATTTTGTTGGTATTGTGAGACTGCGGAAAACACTCGAGTATTCGATAATAGGAAACGTCTTTATCCAGCTAGCGACAAAGCTGCACAGACTTCCTCCCAAACCCCATTTGCCATTTCTGTGTAAATGTACAACTCTACCTGCACAACGTACTACATCTTTATGTTTGGTTGAATTTCACAAAAATTGACTACAAGTTCTTTTTTTCAATATAAATAATACAAAAAAAAAAGTTTGAAACTTTAACAATATAAAAACCAGATTTTGAATTTTTGATGGCAAATTAAGAGTAAATTATTTCGTAAACAATTGTTTCGACTAGGGCCTTCTTCGTCTTCCAACTAAGTTGTGCAGCAAAAGCCAAAGTCAATCCCAAGGAACAGTGAAGCTTCGTAGAGTCTTTCTGTTCAAGTGCAGGTAGTCTGCATCTTCACAGACACGTCTATTTCACCGAGCCTCTCTCCGAGACAGTGCCCAGATCATTACGCCTTTCGTGCGGATCGGAACTTACCCAACAAGGAATTTCAAGTATTCGTTATTCTTCTCTATTTGTAATCCAATAACCAACTCACAAGTTCTGTCAAGTTAGCTAAATTACCTCTTGACAGTGATGTATGTTGTATATGTAAATCCTAGATGTGAAAATATGTAAAAAAATTCCGAATGATGAACCAGATTTGAACAGTTTCAACATTCGTTTGATGAGAAATAAAAAGGAATATCAGGAGAACAATTTCCCATTCCTTAGCCGGAAAGATATGTGGCCATGCAAAGCGAACAGATAATTTTAAAAACGAAGGAAATATAATTATAAAACATTAAACTTAATTAATTATTATTTTTAAAGAAAAAAATATTAAACAAATCGAAAATTATTTATGCAACTTCCATTTCTGTCCATTTGTTATTTTATTTAAACAACTTTTAGAGCAGTTTGTCTATTAAAAAATGCAACATTTCAACCCTCCCTTGTGTTTATTTGGCTCCATAAGACACAAAAATTGTTAATGAGGCAACCTGAGAATGGTGATGTCCTCAATCGTATATAATATGAATACAATCAATCATACATTAACCTCAAACACTAAAAACCATTTCATCTTTCCTTTTCAACTGTTTACTGTTTTCCCTTTCTATCTGTAGCCACCACCACCACCACCACCACCACCATACGGTTGTTGGCCATAACCACCACCACCACGACCCATCATCGGGTTGTAAGTTCCAGCCATGGCTGACCCAGGTGGAAAACCGGTTGATGGAGGTTGCATTTGGTATTGACCCATGGGCTGGTTCATACCTCCGTAGCCTGCTCCATAGCCACCAGGTCCAACCATGCTGGAACCCATCATGGGGTTCACTTGCGGTCTGAGTGCACCTGCCCCTGCACGTCCAAATCCAGAACCAGAACCCATAGCCTTACCCATGGTTACATTCGAAGTCATGGGGGTTGTGCTAGTTTTCTCCATTCTCTTCTCCTTCCGGTTCAAGGCTTCAAAGTCGACTCCAATATCAGATAATGGGTTTGTTTTAGCTGCACATAAAGATTAATCATCAAGATATGTTCGATACTGAAAACTTTGAAGATTCATATATGAAGCAACTTACATCCGGCTATATTCAAATTCACGAGTCCTCGGTTCAACGTATCAGCCCAAACAGTCGATTTCGTCTCGAATTTGGATGGTTGTTGAGGAACTATTGCAAGAGCACCAGTTGAAGCAGTGATAGCCGGCACCTGTGGCTGTGGCTGTGGCTGTTGATAGAAACTTGAAGCATTCAACTGTGGTGCAGCTGGTGTGGTTGTAACTTGGACCATGGGTGGAACCGTAGCCGAAGAACCCTGAGGTTCAAAACCCCCATAAAAGTTACTCAGATGAGCAGGTTGCCCATTGGAACCGGGAAAACCTGCCTGTGAGACAGAGCCCGTTTGAGATTGAAAACCATCAAGAGCCATGGTTTGACCACCATGGGGATGGAAACCATCTTGGTGTGGTGTAGGTTGGCCGGGTTGACCTTGGAAACTCGGTGGAAATGCAGTCTGGTTAGGTTGAGCTGGGAAACCTGTTTGAGAAGGAAAGACTGTTTGTGATGGAAAGCCTGTTTGTGATGGAAGTTGGCCAGGTTGAGTTTGAAAATTTGTCTGCGAAGGTCCTGCTGGAGGCAATAGATCCGCTAGAATATCCGTGTTTTGGTCATAATTGCCTCCATATCCAAACTTATTCCCAGATTCCGGGACTGATTGGGGTGGTTCAGCACTTTGACCAAAGACAGATGCCGACTGAGGTGGTGCTGAAAATCCATCTGTTGAACTAACGGCTCTAAAAGGACCGTCACCAAATGGATCTTCAAATGGCTGCATAAACAACAGAATATCAGCTTGACTTGGTCACGACGTAAATCGCCATGATATTAATTTGTGCATCCAAAAAATGATAAGCCCTCGGTACTATCAAAACAGAAACAATTTTCACTTTGGGACGTCCCATATTATTGCAACATCTCCTTTTTCAGCTGAAAACTTGTGTTAAAATTACCTATAATCATCCCCATGGTCATCAATAAGAAGCATTTCAAAAGGGCATTTTGGTCTTTTGACTAATATTCAAACACAATTTTTGTAACCATGGGTGTCCAGGACAGCTTGAGCGCACCTCCACCAATCCCATGGGACCCTGAAGATAATAGCCAGAAAAATCTTCAGTGCCCCTGAGGGCTGAGGAGACTCGAACCAGAGACCTGTGCCCCAAGGCCTAGCCTTTATTTCTACCCGAGTAAAAGGGTATTTTAGGTATTTAAGTTTGTAAAACGAACCTGACTGGAGCTAATAGATGATGAAGATGCAGCCACAAAGGTCTGACCAGGAGGATTTGAGTTAGTGAAGGAATCAGCTTCAGAAGTTGCAGTTGTCGGCACAAGAGCCAATGCATTCACAGAGAAAGAGTCCGATGGAGAACCAAACAAGTCCATTTCAGCAACACCCGATGTTGGTGGGGCCGCTGTTATCCACACCAAAATTTTAAATATATATTCATAAATGAATAATCACTATAGAAAACTGAAATCTGTTCATTCTCTCATTAACCGAACAGTTGTTTCTTTCCAACAAGAAGTCAAGCACCAGTACGAAAAGGCAACTTCATAATTCACAGATTCCACCTTTTTAACATCCCAAAATAGAAACCATTAAAATGAAACAGTAGCAACGAGACAGAGGGAACAGTATTTTACCTGGAAAAGAACCACGGGGATCAAATTCATCAAACCCATTATGTTCCTTATTGGAGGCGGCAGCAGGTGGAGAAGGTATAGCAGCTACTGGTGGTGGAGCAACTGCTGGAGCCTCAGGGCTGCTAGAAACTGTGGTTTCATGCCTGGTGGTTACAGGTGGGGGTGAAGATTTCACCTCTCCATCCCTTCAAATAGTATAAAGTCAGACAATATTCAACGTAATACACCAGAAAGATTCATCTATACCTCTCACTATAAATGGGGCTGCGACCACCGCCCACGGCATCTTCATAACTAGGAGGTACCCCGAGATTTTGTTCAGAAGATTTCCGCTCAATAGGCCTGAAAGAATTTGTTTATGAACATTGTGTTGGATATTGAGCCTGATTTGTACTCAAACCAGTTAACAACGTCTTGAAGGACTATTACAACAAGAAAAGGTATAAAATGTATAACTAGATTACCTTCCATCATGAGATTGATCATCAGTTTTAGCGTAGCTTCCTCTGCAATAAAACAAAATAGAAACTAATGAAGATCACAATATATGCTCAGAATCAAATGGGTCCTGTGTAAAAGATAATACTATAATACAAACATCAATGGGCACGTTTACATAGTTTTCAAAATACCAAACCAAACGAGCACAATATATCCCACCCAGAGGTCCAGGGTTCATTACTTTGTCAAAATTTAAAGGGAATTTTGGACATCGAAAATTTGTCAAACAGTTTCCAAAATTTTGTACCCAATTAAAATTTGCCACTTAAAGGAGATGGAGAATCATACTAGATACGTTTGGCTGGGTTTTAGGGGTTTGAGAAATATGAAGAAAGAAAGAAAATACTAATCACTCCGTCCCAAAATAAATGTCCACAATGAAAAAGGCACACAGTTTTAGAAATGTGTGATTATTACACTTTTTGATTAACTAAATGACAATTTGTCCTAATTTTAGAGGGAATAATGAATTTGTTCATCTCATAATAAAGGGCAGAATTGGAAGATAGGCACTTACTTTTGCAAAATGGAAACTTATTTTGAAACATACTAAAATAGAAATATGGAGACTTATTTCAGGACAGAGGGAGTATTTACATCTTGTCATTAATTCTAGGAGGATTGCAGATTTAATGCAATCATAACAACAAATACAAAGAATATGCATATACCTCGAAGAATATTGTCCTTCATCTTCATAAGCCCGTTCCCTTTCTCTATCAGAGCTTCTACTTCTTCGGCCATAGTTGTCACCATCTACGCTTCTTCTACCTCGGTATTCATCATCCCTATAGCGATCCCGACCATAGCGTTCTTCACCATCACGGCTACCATATTTGTCATCACCCCATTCTCTTTCTCTCCCATACCCATTACGGTCCTCATCTCTACTTCCGTAGCGATCATCATCAAAACCTCCTGGACCAGGGTATGATCCAGGCCTGTACTTCACCCCTCCTGATGCATTGTGAAACCTGATTGGAATGTTACAATCACGTCTCATCAAAAACAAGAAAACAATAATAATTTATGGTGATCATCATACTATAAACAATATCTGAATCGATGCTAAGCCGACTATAAACGTAGTTCAAGGCAAAAGAAACAACAAAAGCAAGATCCAATTTGTTTAGACCATTCAACATTTTTCATTTTTTGGGTCCCATTCATATAGTATGAAAGAAATAGAAATGAGGGCCCATTTACTTGATTTAAGATTAATGAAGATGGAGTCCACAAAATGGAGAATGGGAGAAAATGGTATAAACGGACCGAACCTAAGGTTTGACCCTCCCTATAGACTAAAAATGCGAAGAAAACCAGACCAGATTGCTGAAGATTTGATCAATCGAAATACAAATACCCAACAAAGTATCCTAAGTAAAAAAAACTGTTATCGAGGAAAGATTAAAACTAAATCTTGATCCAAATTCACCATATTATGTGTCAATATGCTTGACTGAATCTTTAATGTACTCACTTGTCCCAGTTGGCAGCAGCCTTCTGCCTAACTTCCTGTATTTTCTCTTTATCGTTCACTAGCGCCACAAGACTCTGTGACTTCTTTCTTACATTGCTCCCTTGATCCCTCGCATTTGAATCAATATACTGAAATTCTGACAACGTCTACACAAAGAAAAAGACATGCTAATAGATAAGCAATGTGATACACTAAGGAATCAATTAGAATACAGTTCGTAGTCGGAAGCTTTCGAATGATTGTAAGCGGAAGGAAGTACAGAGTAGAATCCAGCAATTCGAGAAGCTAGGGTCTCCACCAGCTAAAGCCACAAATTTGGTTATAATCCAGGTGCCCACTCACCTGACACTTATCTATTATTTATACTCTCTCTCCCTTATACTCTAGTAAGTAACAAAATCCCAAACAAAAAGAAAACTTCTGCTTTCCCCAAAATACCCTTCATACCCACCACGAATTACCAAAGTAGCTTTTTGTGGTTCCTCCTCAGGTAAGTGAATCTCAGTGCTGGGTTATCACAATGATAATCTAAAGATAAAGATACTAGAATGTAACAAGTTTCAAAGAATAAAACGATACCGTTATCTGGTAAGAGTGTTCCCTAATCTCATCTATGACACGCTCCGACCCATTTGCTACCAAGTAATCAAGAACGGTCAAACCCTGATGCAAAAGAAAGAAAGTGTCCAGGTTACGTTTTCCCATTCAAGATCAGGCATCAAAAAAGTTGCCTGAGTTATAAATCTTGAGAATCAAAAGATGTGTAAAAGTAGATTTATGCATGAATCAGAAAAAATACACTATTAGCTAAGGTGTGTATGGTAACTAGACGAGACTGGACTGAACATGTGAGTGTCGTCCTGTCCCATTCTAATGTCGCCCCAAATGTGGGACAACAAATTTTTGTACTGTCCTGTTCCATCCTGTCCCCCATATCAAACACACCCGGAAAGAACAGCATAGGGGTATTATGATTTCACATATGAAAGATCCAAACCTTGTACACATGGCGCCAGTTTTTCCCCGTATCATTAACACGCTTCCAAATGACTGACATGATCATCTGGTATTCATGACTGCATATGCATAAAGGAGGATGAATTTAATTGGGCAAAGAGAATCATTTAGTTCTTCATTTGTAAAGGAAAAACAAGCCTAACATACTAGTTTCTTGAAGCCAATGCAATATCAGCAAGAAGCGATCCATGAGGACCCCAAGGCTCGTTACTGGTAGCATCAAGAACCTGGGAAAACATAGATTGAAACATTAACAAAATCGATTCAGGTAAACCTGGTGTAACTTACAGAACCCAACCTTAAAGAGTTCACCCACAAAAAGCTATAAACAAAAGAAGACGTCAATCGGCCTAAAACTTTAGGACACGCTGAATAATCTTCAAAAGGTCTAAGCAATCATTAAGATCATGCATGTTTCCATCATATGACAATCATGTCTTCAGATTGGGTACAGAAATCCTAACCCCAGACCCTACTTTCAAATGGGAATATTGGGCACGTTTTTTTGGTTTATGCTTTTATGCACACACAGTTTTTTATATATTTTCCTCTCACTTGCCGATAATGCTTTAACAATGACATAAGATTACAATCTTGTTAAGTCAAAGTTGATCCACATGAGGATATTTTCTAAGAAACATCCAACTTATGAACACAAACTAGAAGGAAGAAAGGAAGCTAGTTGGTATGCTAATTCTTCAGCCATAAATCAGCCTTTCCCTAGTGTTATTTTCTCAACAAGTAATTCTAGGACTGAAATCTTTATATGGTTTGAAAAGGCAAAGCACAAGTCCAAGGCACGAAAATACAAAAACTCAAAAAAAATCATGTTCCCAATATAAAACAAAAGGTTCCACAAATAAGTAGGTATAATAAGGGGCAGTGGCATGATAAGGTGTAAGACCTTGTTCCAAATCCAATAAGGGGATTTGTAATTTTTACACTCGTAATAATGAAAGGCGGATGATTCAAACATGGAAATTGAAAGGGATAAAGAAAGATATTCACCTTCTGTTCTATTGAAGGAACTTTAAGAACTTTTTTGTTGACTCCTCTCTTACTGCGTGGTACAATTATAAAATCAAGCATCATGAGGAGGCTCTAAAAATTTAAGTAAATTTTATAGATATCAAATTGAACTTACATGTCCCTGACAGTTTGATCAAAGGCCTTCTTCATTATCCCGAAGAAGGATGCAAACAGTCTCCAACTCGAACGCCCTAAAAATATTATTCTGGTTCAGGAAAAATCAAGAAACAAGGAACAATATTAAGCTCAAAATAATCCTGCAAAAGAAAACAGGTTGTAGAAACCACTTATCAAACTAATCATCAAAGTTCAAATTGAATTCACAAAGGACCCGTTTACAGATATAAAGTTTAAAACTCGTGTAACATGATTTTAGACATCAGGAGCAACTAGTTTTTCCTAAGGTATAACAGTAATCTAGACATGTTCGATAGAAGTACGTTAAACATGTTCTTGTATGCCGATAATAACACCAAGATCTCCTAAAAATGGCCTAAATAAGAAGTGAAACCTTTGGATCAAGTGTGCGAAATCCTAAAATCTTAAACTTACTAATTTCATCCAAATTTTTTGCCATTTGTTGTAAGTTGAACATGTAACCCAAATCTAATCTTTAGGATTATGAATTTATGATCAAAACAATTACATTACGTAGCTTAACTATTTTCCTACACCTTCAAGTAGGGTTCAAGGTAAACCAAGCGTCCCACAACTCAAAGAAAGTCACCAATGTACTCTAATAGTTTCTTCAATGCCAAAATAGAAACCCCATTCGGGTGGATTCACCATGGAACTTAAAAAGATGTAGTTCACCCAATAACCATAGATCAAACAATTGGTGGGCAAACAATCATAACCGTAAACATTCACATTAACATGATCAGAATTATTCAATTTTCCTCATAAATTCAAGAAGAAAAAACAAGATCTGAACGAACTAACGGATGAATCAAATAAAATGGAACACATCCAGATCCAAGCAAGCAAAATATATCAAACCTGGTGAAACTGAAGGAGGCAGATCTGATCAACGTGCTATGTGGGTGTTGTGGAAATCGATTTATCGACAGAAATTGAAGGAGGGTAAGATAGAAAGCAAAATTGGAATCTAAAAGAGCAGGTATTCGGCACCTTTGGAGTTGAAATTGAATAGAATTGAAAAAATCAACAAGAGATAGAGGATTTGGTAGTGTTTCTTGGCGTCTGTGTAAGCAAGAAACAACAATTTACGGAGGACAGAGAAAGATTGGAGGGTGACAGCACAATTATACGGAGAGATTTCTGGGATACAAGTATTTTGTTCAAGAAAATTGATTTTCTTATACTTTTCTAGGTGGCACGTAGCAAGTCTTTGTTGGTGTCTGCTATCCCTTCCCATCCAAAATAAATTCACACCATTTTTATTAAAATTTATTATTCATATTATAATAAATATATGAATAGTAATAAGATGAATTAAATTAAGATCGAGACTGTTTGGTAGTTGCTGAATGCTTTGGTATAAAATGATTAAGTAGTTAAAATGATTAAGACATTCTCATGAAATAATACAAAATGAAATATAATTGTTTACAATGATTTTAGGGTGCTGAATGGTTAAGGGAGACTCGGTATGCAAAATCATTCAGATGATTTTATAATCATTAAGAGGCAAAAAAATTACCAAATAAGATTCACATCTTAACGGTTCAGAGTTATGCCTCTTACTATTTTATACGGTTGTTACGTACATTTTTTAGGTCAAATCAGAATATTAAAAATGTAAAAAAAGATATGTTAGATATGTAATATAAGAGAAAATTATAAAGAGATGGTGTAAATAACAAGTAAAAGGATGTATTTAAAATCACCCATAATTATATTAACTTTATTAAAGGGCATTTTAGTCAATTGGTAAAAGCATCTTTGTTGACACAAATGAAAATTGTATAGTCCCTCTCTGCAAAGTAAATGTCTATATTTAGAAAGGAAACATAATTTCACAAATATATAATTATTATATTTTTAATTAATAAAATGATTATTTTTTCTCACAACTATAGAGGAAAAAATTCATCTTATAATTAAGTATAAAACGAGAAAGTAGACATTTATTTTTAAATATGAACATTTATTTTAAGACAAATTAAAATAGTTATGTAAACATTTATTTTGAAACAGAACGAGTACAAATTTAACGATCAATTTGTCTACTTTGTTGCTATCTTTGTCACTCTCATTTTTCATACTCGAGTCTTATCATTCTTTACGTATGAATTTTCATCGTTTGTTACGTAAATATGTCAGTAATACCTAAATGTTTTATGAGCTTTCTTATCAAAAATCATAGTAACTAAAATGATTTGTAACCAAAAAGATGCCAAACAGATTGACGATTAATATCAATGATGTAATGCCGTTATATATTGTTATTCTAACCGCTAAAAGAACCGGTTTTGAGCTAATCGATTTCCAATGATCTCGACATTTAAACCCTCGAACCATCTTCACGGCTAAATCATAGCATTGAAAATATAAAATAATGATAAGAGGTTCAACGAACACGACCATTCTCGATGATTACAAAGATAAATAAAAACTAATCATGGATTTTGAAAAATATTATAAAACAGACCATGTCTCAAATTTGTCCTTAATAAACCAAATTCACAGAATAAAAGTTGCTGGAGACAACTTCTGCCACTAGAATACCTGTCAAACAATGAACATGTGAATAGCAGACATTTCCTCAGTTTCTATCACAAGAAAAGGAAATGCTTTCGTCACCCAATTCATTTAGATCTTACTGTATTTGAAGGTTAGTTTCGAATCCGATGGTCATGTCCGTTAGCGGTTGGTTAAGCTAAAAGAAAAAGAGCATGCAAGATTCAGCCTAATCAACTAACTCGGGTTTTTTCAATATCGAATGGCTTACGATGATATGGTTAAAGAATACAAATTTCAATTCTCTCTCATGATGAATCGGATTATAAACTATACAATCGTTAACAAGGCTTTCAGGTCAAAAAAAGAGTAACCTCCATAGCAGGACTTAACCAGTGCCACCATCTGGCTGATCCTTTGCTTCATAAACCGTCTCTAAACATTCTTTCGCCCTGTGAACCTTTGACTGCAGATAGAAACTCCCGTTCTTGGCGTTTCGTTCAAATAAAGTATCATATTTCTGTACAAAACAATAAAGTGGCTAAAAATTATTGAAACTACTACTAGATGCAATAAAAGCTGGCATAAAATTGGAACATTTTAACACATGGAGGGGTTGTTTGGTTTTTTTCCATCAAGTCTTGTATATATAAAGTTGTCTTGTGTGGATTGATCTATCTGTATAGATTAGAAAGGTTTTTGGTTGGGAGGTCTTTAAATAGATGGAAGAAGCGTGCTTTTTAATTGGGAGTGGCAGGTTTCTGAAAAAACTTGGCTTTCTGCATAAAGCTCCCCCCAGAAGCTTACTGAAAAGCCACTTTCTATATCATTAAGCCACTACCGAACAATCATGTACAGCAGACCGAATAAGCGACAAGTCCCATTAAGCTGCTAACAAACAGACCCTAGTCTCTTCTTATTCGTTCAATCGTTATTCTACCTGTTGTATTTCCCGATTACCTGTTAAATTACCTTATCTTATTTCTTGCTCGCACACACCTTTATTTTGTGCACAAGCCAGGGTCTTCACATAAACGATCTCTCATTCCTAGTGGTTGAGGTAAGATCTGCTTCGCCTCCTACCCTTCCCAGACCCTACTTTCGTATGGGATATATTTCATTCATTTGTGGTTTGGTTTTTTCATAGTGATTTTTGTTTTTTTAACATGTTGACTATAAGGGTAAAGTGGCTTAAGATCTAAACTCCTAATAACTAATTAAAATGTCAAATACTAGCCTGCGCAATTTCTTCCCAGGATGACTGCTCGCTGACACCAAGAATCTGCCTGGCCTCTTGTTCAGTCATAACTTTGTTTCCTCTACGGACGGCATTTTGTAATGTTTCTTGAGCAACACCCGATTTTGAAGCATCTGCAATTGACCATATACGATAAATAAATTATCCTTATGTTTCAATATGGACAGTAAATAATAGTTTTCCTCATATATCCCTAATCTATCTTTTACAGCATATGAAGAAAGTTTACAGGTTGCTCGGTTTACAATGAAAAAAATGAAGCAATGGTTTATAATAGTTACAAACTAACAGTAAGAAGTGTGTTCTCAAATCAACATATCAAAACCCTTGATGACTTAACATTTGGACTGAAGATAATATTACATGAGAAAACATTTCAGCAGTCACTACACAAAAGCAAACACCCAAATGATACTTTAAAGGTACTTTTGAGTGGTCCCTACAGCCAAAGTGTGTTTTAAAGTATCAATGGAATGATTACTGACCAAATTTCTTGCTGTATTATATTATATGAGACGCAGATTATTCACAATAAGGAAGGAGATCCAAGCAAGTATTACCACTTTTCCATCGGCATGTTCAGTGAACTTTTCTTTTTATATGGTGGTTTATTTATTTAAAGCATGCATATCACATGATTGCATAATGAACAGACATCCATCATGGAATAGAATCCAAAGGTAGCTTGACACTGTCCTAAAAGGTAAAGTAATAGAGGAAAAGTATCATCACTCCTAAAAAAGTAGCTAGATGTATTCATACATCTGAGCCTAAAAAACATCATGGCCAATATATACCCATGATGTAACGCATCAATGACTTCAAACAAATGATTGAAGATAAACCAAAGCAAATATATTTCATACTCAAAAACAAAAACAAAATAGGCAAAAGTGAACAGCACATCATCAAGGTCGAACAAAAATAGCGATGCCAAATCAGATAATTTTACAGATTCAAATTTGTAATGCTAAACAATTCTGGATTTAACCCATTCGGCTATATATGATGTTATAGCTACTGGCTCTAAGATATTTACCACCATCTCTACAGTTGGTAAATAGTAATAACTATATGCTCAATTTAGAGGACTTGTATAAATACAGCAACCACAAAGATAACTGCACAATGAAAACTCAACAAAATACATGAAGGGAAAACCCTACAGAGTCAACATAAGGCCATGGTTTCAGAAACTTACTTTGAAGGGCCTGACGATATGCTTGAACAAAAGCCCTTGCCAGTATCCCGGAACCCATTACAATCAGATTTGCTAGAATCTTGGCAGCCTGCACAAACAAGTCCATGATGCAGGTTAAAAATTTTGAACCCCAATATGATTATGCATAAATGCACCTTACATCAATAAAAAATACTTGCAAAAATTTAAACAATGGGCCATCCCTTAAAAACTAAAGCTTCTTAAAAGACAAAAAGAAAAGAATTACATGAATGGAAAGGATATGATGATACAATGTATGATCAAGTGAAATCTTGAGAGTGAAACCAAATATAATCAACAATAATTTTGCACACAATGGCACCAAAATAGACAAGAAAAACAAAAGGCATTTGGCAATCATCTACAATGACATCTATCATTACTAGGATGATGTTTCAAAAAGAACTTGTGACAACGAACTGTCTTATAGCGCTCTCCAGTTGCACCATTGTAAATAGAAGAAAGCCACATTCGAAGACAAATCTATTGATTTAAAAGCTTTCAAATAAGGGTACGGTCTATTTACTTCCTTCATCCTGCTTAATATATCAACATTGCAAACGAACTGATGTTACCTTGTGCTCACAAAAGTAAATGATCAGATAGGGGCCCCCCTTATCTAACAAAGATGCCACAAACTCAAGACACTGAGAGCAGAGGCGAAATGTTAGCATCCATTTTAAGTGTTTAGGCTCCAAGATATAATTGAGGGCAAAAATGGTCAAGTGCCAACTACATGTAATTGAAATTATTTGGAATTAAAACATCTTAACCAATGCCTTAGTTCAAAATATAAAACTATTACGTGTTGTGATTTTCACTTTATTTTTCGTCAATGTTCAAGTTTGATGTTAAATGTATTCTTGTCATTTGAGCAAAATCCATAAGTATAAATAAATACATTCATCATAATAACATATTTAAAATGTAACTTATTAGTTCTCCAGATTCAACAGTCCATCTTACAATTTAAATTGTTTTTAAAACAAATCAAACTCTAAGGTTGAAATATAACCTTTTTAGTCTTAATGGCATACAATTATGTTCACTGAAGTTATGTCCATACAATCAAGGCTTTACACTCTCCAAAGACTTGTACAACCTTAATATCTTCTTTAAGATGTATTTTAGCCTTAAAATCACTTAAGAATCGATCCATGATATAAACTATAGATAGGTGTTTAAACCATCAATAAGTAAAAGTGTAAAACTCAAGGCTTAGCAACTTAGAATTGAATTAGCAAGCTGTTTACTTTGAAAGACATTCATCTAACATCATAGTTGGAACTGAACATTTTGACAAGTTTATGTATGCGAACTTTTAGAAATTATGAATTTTAGTAATATAATTAGTGAGTGACGGCCAACATAACTTTTGAGAACTAAAAGCAATCAATGAATGAACTTTGTATCTTCGACATCTTAATAGGAAGCATCTGGTTTTTTCTGCCATTGCTTAAAATGAGATCCTTGTACGGTGGAAAAGGCACCCAACTGACTCTATCTCTAAAATTATCATGACAATCTTTAAGCATCCAACATAATTAAAATTTGAATGTAAACAAGATATACCTGGTAAAACAAAATAAAAAATTTGTACACGTTTGAGCAATTATCAAAATATCAGTAGGAAAAGTAAAGAATGTGGTATAGGAAGACCTGAGTTTTAAATGATGTATTCATGCTAAATAAGCCAAACAGAGAAAATATGTCCCATTCAAAAGTAAGGTCTAGGGGGTATGATATCATCCCATAGAGTAAAGCAACTATTTCCATGAAGACTGGCTTGCAAAAAAAAGTTTGAAAAACATTTTGGTGGAAAACCGCGTTTTCGTAAAGTTTGTCAGAAAAGATCAGAAGAAATTAAAAGTACAAAGGACTTGACACCAAAAGGTAAATTACGAAGAGCTTTTGAAAATAATAAGATAGTATAGGAGGTTACACAAACAAGTACCAAAAGCGTATAACAATACCACAAACTAACATCCCTCTTTCTTAATGGTCTGAAAACCTATTTCAGCACTCCAACCCTCCCTCACCTCACCCTATACCCTTCCAACCTCCCCTCCTCCCAGCCATGTTATCTACCAAGAACTCCTTTCAGAGGTCATGTCCTCGAACATGTATAAAGTAGACATGTCCAACCTCAAATGCTCATCTCACGTCCTCCCCGACGTGTCCCTCCTCTTCGCCATTTTGATTGCCATGTTTTCTACTGTCCACGCTAGAAAACACATTTCTCTCCTACGAGCGTGCCCAGACCATCACGATCTCCACTCTCTCAATTTATTGATGATAGGCCCAGCTTCCAATCTTCTTGAAAGACCTTGTTCAATATCTCGTCAAACATGGTTCGACCACATGTCCATTTGAGCATCCTCGTTTTTGCAACTTCCAACTTCCTCCAATGGGCATTCTTTGTTGCTCAACACTCAGACTTGTACAATATAGTTGGTCTGATGGCTAAAAGGAATTTTCCCTTCAATTAGCAAAACATTCTTGTCATGCAACATTCCCATGGCAACCCTCCTCTTTTTACCAATTTGTGTTTATGTTATGTGTTACGTCATATTCAGCATCTCCTTTCTTCTGAATCATGGGGCCTAAATATACTTACAGATTACTTAATTGACAATAATAACCTTCACATCCATGTTTGACTCTGAAGTTTGACTTCCAAAAAAATCAAAACAACATCACTTCCAAGTGTTTGTACTTCAAACTTTTACCATGTGTAAACCTTTTTCCCCTAATTGACTTGAATGTTAACTTTTTAGAACTCAAACATTCAACAAATGGACTATGAGATCTTGTCCCAACTTTTGGTGTTCAAGTGCTGAGTGTCACACCTTAAATGAATGTTTCTCTTCTCTATAACATAGTAAACTAAAACATGGGATCAAGGTTTATCTCTCGAATCTCGATGAAGGACATCTGCATCCCCAGCAAGAGTTCCCCAAAATAGAATATTTAGTTGGTTGAACTGAATCTAGTCAGTAGTCACATCCTTTTCAACCAATAATTTCTATCAGGCTGATACCACGATCCTCTAAATACAGTCAAAATCATTGAGGTGGCTGAATAATCATAATCAGAACACCCGAACATTGTTTTTTATATGTATAACCCCTCATAGATGAGCTAAAATAATCAACCTAAGATGCCAAGGGGCAACCTATTGCATCATAAATTATGCTTTCGTTTTTTGTATCACGACAACAAGAAGAAAAGAAAAACCTGCCACGAGGCCAGGATAATAACACAAACAGTTCCTCTATCCATCCATTAAAACAGAAATATTTCAAGATTCGAAGTTGATCACGACAATCTTTAAATAACATTTCGATTCATGTATATGTACCGACTCAAAGCAAAAACGTAAGACAACTTAATCGTATCATAAATTCCGACAAATGAATTACGACCTAAACCTCCTTTTCATATATGCAGAAATCTTAAAAGCTATAAAAACTAAAAACTCCCGTCGATTTCGTCATGATCCTTCAAACCCCACTTATCATTCAAGGAAATTACGAATAAAAATAACTAATAAATAGAAAAACAGAATTCCGAAAACATACCATAGTTATAATTTGAGATGGCCGATCAACACTCAGCGAAACTTAACGTTGAAGCAAGAAGATTTGGTCAGGTATAGGGTTTTGTTTGTGAAGACAGGGGAAAGGTCGGTGCGTTCAACTCGGGAAAGGATTCCTGACAGAAAATCCCTAGCCATTATATAAGAAATAAATTATTAGCATTTGGCCCCTTATCTTTAACTCATTCACAAACTGACCCCTAATATTTTATAAATGCCTAGCACACCGTTTTACTTTATAAAAATAGTGTAGTTCAACCGATAGCATTTATAAACAAAGGTTCATAAAAAAAATTATGCAAGAAAATAGCAAAATTCTCGAATGTGATATTTTTTCTTTTTTATGATTGACCTGGATATCCAATCCGTTATACGTGCCGACTAATCTCAAGACAACCATCTGCTTTGTAGGTAGCCTAGAGTCACCACATTTGAATCCCCATGTCCACAAGAGAATTTTTATTTTTCCTTAAATAAAAATAGAGTACTACTACTCAATAACGGTACTACCACACTAAAACATTATGACTCTGTAAATAATTACTTCGATCTAGTTTTGGAGCTGAGATGAAGACGAAGGTGTGGACTGAAGAAGCTAGACGTTATAATTGTAGAGAAGGCTATCACAAACGGTTACTATTAGTGGTGCAAATAAAACAAAGGGTCATGGTGATAGTTGGGTCGTGGAGATTAACAAGAAAAAATATGGGAGGTTTACAGTGTCAGTCACATACCGGTGGGGAGGTGATAAAGATGGTTGGCAATGCGGGAACAGGATGAAGATGGGTGAGTCACGTAAGATTAATTAACAACGTGCATCTATGATATAAGAATTTGGACGCTCATTTTCTAAGTGGCAAAAAGACTAAAATGCCTCTCAATTAATAACAGTAGCAAACAACTCTAACGATAGTAATCAAAGGGCCTTTGGCCTAATGGTATGTGAGTCTTTGGCCTCCTAGAAGGACAATGGTTCAAACCTCACCGAATGTGAGGAGGGTATGCGAGTTTATTTGTTCTATTTACCGTATATAAATATTATATACTCCAAAAAGAAAACTCTAGCGACAATGGACCGTTTTTGCAAACGAAAATGAAAGAGAAAATTGCATCAAAATGGAACAAACTTTCACCTTATTCTTATTTTGGGGAATCAACTTTTAAAATATTCATTTAGGGGTCTCAATCAAACTTTTTGTTTATTTAAGGGTCTGGTTGATCTGTTGACCTGTTAATACTGACATAATCCGGATCTTTTGTCAACTAAGATATTTCACGTCATATTAATTTTTTATTTTAAATCTACGTCATAGTTTAAAATTGTAAAATAATTATATAAAATTAACTAAAATTCCTTTTTTTTCAAAAATTAATTATAAAAAAATTAATGCAATAAAATATATTTTTCTTTCCAAATATCGTTTTTAAATAAAAAAAATTCAAATATCAAATTGAAGATGTTTCTAAATCTCGTTTTTTAATAAAAAAATTAATTGATGCAATAAAAAATAAATATTAAATATCAAATGTAGAAAGGACAGCCTGTCGGAGAGGGCAGAAAGCTATAGCGGCAGAAAGCTATGGGACGACGGCGATTGAAGGAAGAGGGAGGGGTAGATGTTGTGGAAAAGGGCAGAAAGCTACAGCGGCAGGAGACTATGAGACGACGACAATTGAAGGAAGAGGGAGGGGCAGGATTGTGACCGAGGTAGGAGACGTGAAGCGGACTTCATTTTGATTTGTTTTAATTATAATGATGATTTGTCANATCCTGCTTAATATATCAACATTGCAAACGAACTGATGTTACCTTGTGCTCACAAAAGTAAATGATCAGATAGGCCCCCCCCCTAAATGACCAAGATGCCACAAACTCAAGACACTGAGAGCAGAGGCGAAATGTTAGCATCCATTTTAAGTGTTTAGGCTCCAAGATATAATTGAGGGCAAAAATGGTCAAGTGCCAACTACATGTAATTGAAATTATTTGGAATTAAAACATCTTAACCAATGCCTTAGTTCAAAATATAAAACTATTACGTGTTGTGATTTTCACTTTATTTTTCGTCAATGTTCAAGTTTGATGTTAAATGTATTCTTGTCATTTGAGCAAAATCCATAAGTATAAATAAATACATTCATCATAATAACATATTTAAAATGTAACTTATTAGTTCTCCAGATTCAACAGTCCATCTTACAATTTAAATTGTTTTTAAAACAAATCAAACTCTAAGGTTGAAATATAACCTTTTTAGTCTTAATGGCATACAATTATGTTCACTGAAGTTATGTCCATACAATCAAGGCTTTACACTCTCCAAAGACTTGTACAACCTTAATATCTTCTTTAAGATGTATTTTAGCCTTAAAATCACTTAAGAATCGATCCATGATATAAACTATAGATAGGTGTTTAAACCATCAATAAGTAAAAGTGTAAAACTCAAGGCTTAGCAACTTAGAATTGAATTAGCAAGCTGTTTACTTTGAAAGACATTCATCTAACATCATAGTTGGAACTGAACATTTTGACAAGTTTATGTATGCGAACTTTTAGAAATTATGAATTTTAGTAATATAATTAGTGAGTGACGGCCAACATAACTTTTGAGAACTAAAAGCAATCAATGAATGAACTTTGTATCTTCGACATCTTAATAGGAAGCATCTGGTTTTTTCTGCCATTGCTTAAAATGAGATCCTTGTACGGTGGAAAAGGCACCCAACTGACTCTATCTCTAAAATTATCATGACAATCTTTAAGCATCCAACATAATTAAAATTTGAATGTAAACAAGATATACCTGGTAAAACAAAATAAAAAATTTGTACACGTTTGAGCAATTATCAAAATATCAGTAGGAAAAGTAAAGAATGTGGTATAGGAAGACCTGAGTTTTAAATGATGTATTCATGCTAAATAAGCCAAACAGAGAAAATATGTCCCATTCAAAAGTAAGGTCTAGGGGGTATGATATCATCCCATAGAGTAAAGCAACTATTTCCATGAAGACTGGCTTGCAAAAAAAAGTTTGAAAAACATTTTGGTGGAAAACCGCGTTTTCGTAAAGTTTGTCAGAAAAGATCAGAAGAAATTAAAAGTACAAAGGACTTGACACCAAAAGGTAAATTACGAAGAGCTTTTGAAAATAATAAGATAGTATAGGAGGTTACACAAACAAGTACCAAAAGCGTATAACAATACCACAAACTAACATCCCTCTTTCTTAATGGTCTGAAAACCTATTTCAGCACTCCAACCCTCCCTCACCTCACCCTATACCCTTCCAACCTCCCCTCCTCCCAGCCATGTTATCTACCAAGAACTCCTTTCAGAGGTCATGTCCTCGAACATGTATAAAGTAGACATGTCCAACCTCAAATGCTCATCTCACGTCCTCCCCGACGTGTCCCTCCTCTTCGCCATTTTGATTGCCATGTTTTCTACTGTCCACGCTAGAAAACACATTTCTCTCCTACGAGCGTGCCCAGACCATCACGATCTCCACTCTCTCAATTTATTGATGATAGGCCCAGCTTCCAATCTTCTTGAAAGACCTTGTTCAATATCTCGTCAAACATGGTTCGACCACATGTCCATTTGAGCATCCTCGTTTTTGCAACTTCCAACTTCCTCCAATGGGCATTCTTTGTTGCTCAACACTCAGACTTGTACAATATAGTTGGTCTGATGGCTAAAAGGAATTTTCCCTTCAATTAGCAAAACATTCTTGTCATGCAACATTCCCATGGCAACCCTCCTCTTTTTACCAATTTGTGTTTATGTTATGTGTTACGTCATATTCAGCATCTCCTTTCTTCTGAATCATGGGGCCTAAATATACTTACAGATTACTTAATTGACAATAATAACCTTCACATCCATGTTTGACTCTGAAGTTTGACTTCCAAAAAAATCAAAACAACATCACTTCCAAGTGTTTGTACTTCAAACTTTTACCATGTGTAAACCTTTTTCCCCTAATTGACTTGAATGTTAACTTTTTAGAACTCAAACATTCAACAAATGGACTATGAGATCTTGTCCCAACTTTTGGTGTTCAAGTGCTGAGTGTCACACCTTAAATGAATGTTTCTCTTCTCTATAACATAGTAAACTAAAACATGGGATCAAGGTTTATCTCTCGAATCTCGATGAAGGACATCTGCATCCCCAGCAAGAGTTCCCCAAAATAGAATATTTAGTTGGTTGAACTGAATCTAGTCAGTAGTCACATCCTTTTCAACCAATAATTTCTATCAGGCTGATACCACGATCCTCTAAATACAGTCAAAATCATTGAGGTGGCTGAATAATCATAATCAGAACACCCGAACATTGTTTTTTATATGTATAACCCCTCATAGATGAGCTAAAATAATCAACCTAAGATGCCAAGGGGCAACCTATTGCATCATAAATTATGCTTTCGTTTTTTGTATCACGACAACAAGAAGAAAAGAAAAACCTGCCACGAGGCCAGGATAATAACACAAACAGTTCCTCTATCCATCCATTAAAACAGAAATATTTCAAGATTCGAAGTTGATCACGACAATCTTTAAATAACATTTCGATTCATGTATATGTACCGACTCAAAGCAAAAACGTAAGACAACTTAATCGTATCATAAATTCCGACAAATGAATTACGACCTAAACCTCCTTTTCATATATGCAGAAATCTTAAAAGCTATAAAAACTAAAAACTCCCGTCGATTTCGTCATGATCCTTCAAACCCCACTTATCATTCAAGGAAATTACGAATAAAAATAACTAATAAATAGAAAAACAGAATTCCGAAAACATACCATAGTTATAATTTGAGATGGCCGATCAACACTCAGCGAAACTTAACGTTGAAGCAAGAAGATTTGGTCAGGTATAGGGTTTTGTTTGTGAAGACAGGGGAAAGGTCGGTGCGTTCAACTCGGGAAAGGATTCCTGACAGAAAATCCCTAGCCATTATATAAGAAATAAATTATTAGCATTTGGCCCCTTATCTTTAACTCATTCACAAACTGACCCCTAATATTTTATAAATGCCTAGCACACCGTTTTACTTTATAAAAATAGTGTAGTTCAACCGATAGCATTTATAAACAAAGGTTCATAAAAAAAATTATGCAAGAAAATAGCAAAATTCTCGAATGTGATATTTTTTCTTTTTTATGATTGACCTGGATATCCAATCCGTTATACGTGCCGACTAATCTCAAGACAACCATCTGCTTTGTAGGTAGCCTAGAGTCACCACATTTGAATCCCCATGTCCACAAGAGAATTTTTATTTTTCCTTAAATAAAAATAGAGTACTACTACTCAATAACGGTACTACCACACTAAAACATTATGACTCTGTAAATAATTACTTCGATCTAGTTTTGGAGCTGAGATGAAGACGAAGGTGTGGACTGAAGAAGCTAGACGTTATAATTGTAGAGAAGGCTATCACAAACGGTTACTATTAGTGGTGCAAATAAAACAAAGGGTCATGGTGATAGTTGGGTCGTGGAGATTAACAAGAAAAAATATGGGAGGTTTACAGTGTCAGTCACATACCGGTGGGGAGGTGATAAAGATGGTTGGCAATGCGGGAACAGGATGAAGATGGGTGAGTCACGTAAGATTAATTAACAACGTGCATCTATGATATAAGAATTTGGACGCTCATTTTCTAAGTGGCAAAAAGACTAAAATGCCTCTCAATTAATAACAGTAGCAAACAACTCTAACGATAGTAATCAAAGGGCCTTTGGCCTAATGGTATGTGAGTCTTTGGCCTCCTAGAAGGACAATGGTTCAAACCTCACCGAATGTGAGGAGGGTATGCGAGTTTATTTGTTCTATTTACCGTATATAAATATTATATACTCCAAAAAGAAAACTCTAGCGACAATGGACCGTTTTTGCAAACGAAAATGAAAGAGAAAATTGCATCAAAATGGAACAAACTTTCACCTTATTCTTATTTTGGGGAATCAACTTTTAAAATATTCATTTAGGGGTCTCAATCAAACTTTTTGTTTATTTAAGGGTCTGGTTGATCTGTTGACCTGTTAATACTGACATAATCCGGATCTTTTGTCAACTAAGATATTTCACGTCATATTAATTTTTTATTTTAAATCTACGTCATAGTTTAAAATTGTAAAATAATTATATAAAATTAACTAAAATTCCTTTTTTTTCAAAAATTAATTATAAAAAAATTAATGCAATAAAATATATTTTTCTTTCCAAATATCGTTTTTAAATAAAAAAAATTCAAATATCAAATTGAAGATGTTTCTAAATCTCGTTTTTTAATAAAAAAATTAATTGATGCAATAAAAAATAAATATTAAATATCAAATGTAGAAAGGACAGCCTGTCGGAGAGGGCAGAAAGCTATAGCGGCAGAAAGCTATGGGACGACGGCGATTGAAGGAAGAGGGAGGGGTAGATGTTGTGGAAAAGGGCAGAAAGCTACAGCGGCAGGAGACTATGAGACGACGACAATTGAAGGAAGAGGGAGGGGCAGGATTGTGACCGAGGTAGGAGACGTGAAGCGGACTTCATTTTGATTTGTTTTAATTATAATGATGATTTGTCAAAATAATTTCCACATAATATTTGTTTAAATAATTTTCTTCCAAGTCATATTAAGTTATTTGTTACTTGTTCAACAGGTCAGTCAGACCCTTAAATAAACAAAAAGTTTGATAGAGACCCTTAAATAAATATTTTAAAAGTTAGTTCCCAAAATAAGAATAAGGTAAAAGTTAGTTCCATTTTGATGCAATTTTCCCAAAATGAAACTACTTCCTTTCTAATTTCCAAACATTGATGACAATACTAATTCTTGCCAAATCTCAGGGACTATATTTGTAACTTATTATAACAATGAATAATGGATTTGTTTTAAAGCTATATATTTCCAAACGAAGCTGATCCGGTGTCTTCTGATCATCTCGATACACAGCGTGAAGATTCTGATCAGTTTGTAAAAAACGGAGGGAAATGGAAGCCAGAGATCATTTGAACAAGTTCAAAGTTGGTTCTGTTCCGACCTTGTTCTACATCCCGGACTTCATATCCGATTCGGATCAAAAACTTCTCTTAAATCATGTATGTGAATTACTATCTTCTATTATTTGTTGCCGTTTTGTTTCCTATTTCTTATTGTTCATTAGCGTCGTCCAGAAATCAGAATAGTATGAATTTTCACTTCGAAATTGAGACCAGCTGTGTAGCTGGTTAATCCTTTTTTTCTCCGACTGAAACGAGGGCTTTTGTAGATTTATACAGCTCCAGTTTCGAAATGGAAGTCTTTGAAAAATAGGAGACTGCAAAATTGGGGTATTTTACTGCTGTATATTTATCAATTTGTTAATTTCGTAGTGCAAACTGATATTGTGTTTGATGATTCTTTTTATGGTGTTATGTCTGTCACAGGGGGGATTGTCCATGAAAAGGGTCTTTTGCCTCAAGATTGTAAGCACCAACCCCTTTCCTATCATCAATCCTTGTCATAAAACTCTTAGACAATTTCCATTTTGGGACACCCCTTGTTGACTGCAGAGTTTTATCTGTTACGAAGTTTACAGGCTAAAATCTAAATGTCTGGGGATAGTCATTGTTCCAAGTTTCAATGACATTGATTTTGTTCACAAGGTTCAATCCCTCTCAAAACAAATGTGAAGTTTGACTAGGCATATATTCCAAAGAGATTTTGATCATTATTCTAATATCTAAAATGTGTTTAAAAAAAGACAAAATAGGGATTGGATCAAACTCAATGACTTTGATATCTTATTATGATTATAAGTAATATTGGACTGAAATCTTGCTAAAAGGAGATGTATTGCATTTGTGTTGGTGTGGAAGGAGTATTGTTTTTGTCATGGAAGGGTATTTAAGGTGTTTATATAAGATCAAACACTTCACTAAATTATATATTTAGTAGAAACTTGTGAACGTCATGGGAAGGATCGAGTGTATTTTAATTATTTCAGTTGCAGGGGTAACTTTGTTCAATATTTACACGGTGAAATGTTTCGAGCAGATGGCTAGGAACTTTATTATTGTCATACAGTTTACCATATTGCCTTTACTTTTCTTTAACTATGGATGGATTTATGTCAATATCAGATCCAGAAATTGAGCCGATAGATAGTAATTGTCATATGCAATTATGCATCTATGATTTGGTGCAAAGAATTATGCTTGTCGAACTTGAAGATTGTTCATTGTGGAGGTTTACCTTGCTATATGTGCAATGGTGTCGATAAAATGCTTCTTCTTGCCGTTTCATTTGGAGTATGCTAGTGTTGGTTTTTTTTTTTTGCTTGTCATTGAATTTAATAAATCAAATAAGAAAAATTAGTATAGATAGATGCAATAGGTGGCCTTAGTTTTGGTATTATTAGGTGATGTTGAACTTTACAAATGATATTTCTAATTCGGCTATTGCAATCAATGGTAGAAGGACAGACCAAATAGACACATGTGAGGATGGTTTTCTAATCTAAGTTAGTTGGAAACTCATACATCCCCCTTTCTATGAAAATGATGAGTGCTTCTGTTTTTGGATGTCTAATGAAGGTTGCAACAGTCCCATCTTGGAAAATTCTGAAGTGAAACTTGCCTCTTTTCCAAGTATTATGATTGCAGTAAATTGATGATATTGATTAGGATCAACCAAATTTCTTATTTTATCATTATTAAAGGGTTCTTTAGAATGGCAAATAGTCAAAGACTTCCTTATAACTATTTGTGTAGTCATTGTTGCAATATTCATATGGTGTGTTGCCTTCAAAATGGGGTCCTTTGGATAAATGACCTTAAATGAGGTTTCATTTAGGAGCATGTCTTAAAAGAATAGCTCAATGACCTTCATCTGACCTGCCAAAACAGCCTGTCTGTGGTAAAGAATAGTTTGCTCCCATAAAAACTTAGAAATACACTCGAGGGTCATTTTGCAAAACGAGCTTCTAGAGAAGGTGATTGAGCTAAATAGCCTCTCGGAAATTGGAAATGAGCATGTCTAATTGTCAAAAATGGGCTGATTTGATGCTGTTTCCTGCCAAGAACAATACGTGTTGAATTAAACCGCCAATTGCGGCTAATGTGTACTGTGCCTTATGGAGGTTTGGGCCTTTGAACCAGGATAATGTAGATTCTTGCTCAGGCTTCACTTCGTATTATCTCTTCTTACTTTAGTCAATTCTCATGAAATGGTGCCAATGGCTATATTTGAGAAGTTGTTTCTAGCCGTTGCACATACATACACATGTATTATGTTGTTAAATTAAGACTGAATCTCTGCATGTTTTCTCTGTGTCTGTAGTACCTCCATGGCTGACAAAAATTACAGAGAGAATTAATGAGGAATCGTGTCTATATCCTTCTGCAATCAATCATGTCCTCATCAACGAGTACCTTCCTAACCAAGGCATAATGGTTTGTAATAGATCTCTCATGCTAAAAGTTCGTTTTCGGTTTAATTCCCATTGTTGTTACTATATCATGCTCCATCATGTTTAGATGAAGTATGTGAAAATCTATAGTTCGTTTTGTACATGCCAAAGAAAAGAACGAAGCTTGTCTCGTCCTTGTGCATACTTTTGTGAATCCAGTATGCTAGATTCCTTTCGATAGAAAGTAGCGTCTTTGGTGTGTTTTGTGTGCTTTTTAGCTAGATAATCTTTTGAACTTTTTTTTTTCAAATTTGTGGCTTAGAGTTGTGCTTTCTATATCTTTCACTAAACCTTTCTTGCAAATCGGAGGTGTTCTGAAACGACCTTTGTCTTTTGGGACAAAGGTAACGTCCGTGTAAATCTTACCCCTCAGACCCTACTTTCGGGAGGAATATAGAGAGGGCAGACCCAGGATTTTTGCCGAGCCCTTAAGGTAGATCAAAGGCCCGCAAAGTCGTCCAGTGTGTTTTTAGCCGAATTTCACCATTTTTAGGGATTTTTAAGTATTTTGGTTGATTTCGAGGGACTTTTTCATTTTTTGGTTGATTTCGAGGGACTTCTTCAGTTTTTTGGTTGATGTCCCTTGTATTTTCTAATATCCCCGAGCACCCGTCAAAGTTTAAGGGGTGCACCTTTCATCCCCTCAAAAAATTACTCACGAAAATCAGTTAAGCAGGTACATGGGACCCGCTCAGGCCTTCACAAGTCCACCCCTCATGTACTAGATAGGTTTGGTTTGGTTTGGTTTGGTTTGGTTTTCAGTATGCTAGTACACTTTTTTAGGCAAAATGGCTTCATCTCACTTTTACTGACAAGTTCTTTGGTTGAAATGTAGCCTCACCAGGATGGCCCAGCATATTTTCCGGTGGTGGCCATTCTTTCACTAGGGTCACACGTTGTTATGGACTTCACTCCCCATTATAGTTTAACAGGCAATACAAGCAGTATTGACGATAGAGGTTCCGCAGAAGGAACTGATGATGAACATTTACAATACCACCAMCACCCTTTTTCTGTTGCATTGATGCCAGGCAGTCTATTGATATTTAAAGACTCTGCGTACTCAGGTGGGTCTATTCTTTAAATGTTTTCTTGTTTCATCTCAATGAATCTCATCATTTTTCTTGTTTCTGGTAAACAGATTACTTGCATGGTATAAAAGATTGTGAAATCCAGCAATATGATAAGGTAAGATGGCTAAAGAACCATCATAGTATTTTTAATATTATATGATACCAAATAGGCAATGATTCAGCGTTATCTGAATTACCGGTAGATCCCAACCTCCTTGTAGGTGAACGCTTCAAACCTCACCTTGGTGAAGAGTGTGTATAAATTTTGCCATATATATATATATAAAGAGAGAGAGAGAGTTCAGTTGAGAACTAACTTCCGTTATGAACCGGTGACAAACAAGTGCCGACACTTGTTCCCATTTGTTCCCATCGAATGTGATTTTTTGACAACATTCATCATAAATGTTTCCTGTGAATGTATGGGACAGCTGGCATGCTCTCCTCCCAGGTTCACAACAGAAGTTAGGTTTGCAACTATACCTACCCCTACATATATATAGAGAGAGAGAGAGAGGGGGAGGGAGAAAGAAAGTTTCAAATACAAACCATTTCATTCATACAAACCAATCAGTTGAGTTATTCATGCAAATGATGAGGGTTCATTTATTATGATCCGAATATTTATGGAAGATTAATATAGTTTATTAATTATGATAAATAATCGAGATATTTATTTAACTAGATGTTCATTAGACCAGATGAATGGTTGAGAGTGATTTTGTATGGTGTTTGTACAAATGACATGGTCTGTATTTGAAACTTATCTCTCCTCTCTCTACATGTATATAGATAGATAAATAGACGGTCTTGTTTTTATCCTTATATTGTTTGTATTTGTTTTGGTTTTCAGGCGGTGAACGCCACTGAAGTTTTACGACAACAAAGTGTGGTTGAAAGGCATGATGAGGATTTGAAGGCCATTCGAAGATCTAGCACGAGGGTTTCGTTGACGTGTCGAGTAGTGTCTAAGGTTCACAGGAATCTGTTCAAGTTTTAAAATTGCTTTTGAGTAGTTCTTTTAGCTGTTTTGGTTGTGATTTGAGGCTGAAAAAGTCGATCTTGAAAGGTTTTAGTTCTGTTTAATTCGATCTCAATTTGTTTCTTCAATTTAGGGCACACTACTAACATAGTGCATATTCTTCGGCCGATTCTCCAATAATTCTCTTAAATGGAAAATAAAAATTCAAAATGTCCAAAAAGAATTACGATTGTTTTCAATATATTTAATGAAGCTTTATTTCTCACTCTTATACGTTTTAATTTCAATGATTTTAATTGTTGGGGATAATAATATAAGTTAAGAGTAAACTAAAAAAATTGGTTTACGTGGTCTATCAAAAATAACGTTATTCATCCTTGTAGTTTTGAAATTACAAAATGGTCATCATTGTTTGTAAAAACATCTAGATTTGGTCCCTCTTATCGGTCGTTAAAAAAAACCCGTTAAATGAGGGGCTTTTTCATTCATTTATCGGTTTTCACAATGACCGAAATCATAAACACAATTTTGATTGTGTAAAGGATAAAAAGAATGATAAAAGAGGATGAAAACGTCTCTAGTGTAACAAAACAAAAACAAAAAAAAAACCCCTTTAGAGGAAGTGACTAATTGTAAATCATTATGGTCATTTTGTAATTTTGAGACTGCAAGAACGAAGAGTGTTATTTCCGACAAACCATAGGGGCCGATATTGTAGTTTACTCTAAAATATTATTTCTCCAATTTTTGCGAGGACTTATTTCAAATTTGAAGAACTTTGTCTTCTCTCGTACTTTCTCCGGTTTGAAGAAAGTTACGAAAAATCCAGAGCAAAAAAATTAGCCTAAAAGCTTCTTTTTATTCACTATGAAAAAACTGTTGAAGATGTTTTTGCATACGATGGGAATAGGTTTGTGTCTCACCAAGTCCACCAAATATCTAGCACTTACGTAAGACTACAAGATAACCAAAATAATAATCAGACACGGGACTTATTGATATAATATATCATTTATTGCCATTGCTCATTAGCATGCTTCTGCTTGTCTGTATCTGATTCGAGTGGGTTCAGTTGCTTGAAGGACGTATTTACCAAAACAAATACGATTACCTTGATAAGTTATTTCCTTCGTTCTTTGCGTATGTTGTTTATAGAACTTGGTTCTTCTGGAATTATAGTTGATGGTTTGTTTTGAGTTACATCCCTGTTGCATAATCGGATATGATAATTTTTTTTAATCCAGAACCATCTATTCTCCACATTATAGCAAGAACAGATGAATTATAAAAAAAAAAGGTGACAGTAGTACAATAAATGCTCTTGTGCAGTGATGATGGTTAGAATTGTCAATTTAACGAACAAGGTGAGTGTATATCATATGTGGAACCTCAAACAGTAACATTGCCATTACAAACAAAAAATTTGACTGTCATATTCATGATAATTAAAGATTTTTATGTATGCTATTCTTCGTAAGATTAGTCAAAGCATGTTAAAGGCACATACATAACTTGCAAAATGTTTGGCAAATCAAAACAAGATGAAGGATCGTGTGAGAAATGTAAGAAATTATTTGGACCCTTAATCTCAAACCAACCCGTGAATTGTGTTTTAGAAGCTAATTTGATCTTGCGGTTTTCATTAGTGTTGATCTGATGAAACTCTTCAATTAGGTTTAATCTAATTGTGGAGTTTATTTCTTATCGTTCTCACCACAACTCTCATTCTAATTTGAACCCAACCCACAAAACAAATGTCACTCGTTATTAATATCATGAGAATTATACTATATGCGCAATATATCACACTGAAAACATCATTGTAAAGTTTTTTTTAAGTATATAATATTTATATACGGCAAATAGAACAAATAAACTCACACATAACAACAATAACCAACGCAATGACATCATATTTGAACCTGGAAACAAATAATGTTCATTTGGCTTCAAACTTTACTGGTAAGCTATAACTTACGGTTTATAAGAAGCTCATATCTCATTTTTATCAATGTTGGATGGACTGTCACACAAATAACAATATAACAATTGATTGCATTATATAAAACACAACATCATAAGTTCATAACGATAAATCATTGTACTGAATAAAGTACATTTTTTAACAAAGAATAAAATATAATTAAACAACAAAGAAACGATACCATAAATAAATAACTATAAACCATCAACCTTGTTAAGAATCTGTTTATTAACAGCTTATTAATATTCACAGCTTATTTGGTTAGCTATTTATAATTATTTGGTAGTAGCTTAAATATATATAAAAAATGATTTATTTCGTAAGCTTTTAAGAGAAACTTCATGCAAAAAATCATTTTTCCCCCCAAACACATCTTAAAAACATCCTCCTTCTATTGTAGAGAAAACTCAAACAAAATTTTTACTAATCAAATTAATTGTTATAAACAATTTTAACCGTTCAAAAGCTTAATAGAAAATCAACTAGACGACCCTTAAATATTTAGGGGTGCTTAAGATTGGTTATCTGAAACAACAAAAAGTTTTTTTACGAAAGTCCTTATCAATTTATTATAAGTTATAATGATTTAATTTCTTCAAATTTTTTTTTATTACCGGGTTAACACCGATGTAAACTATTTATCAAAATACCTAAAAATAATTAATACCGATATAAATTGTTCATCCCAAAACACCCCTTAAGTTTTGAACAAAATGCATATATTTCATTATTTAGATTTGGTTGATAAAATTTTCCGAGACGACACCGTACTACCGTAGAAGGACGAGTTCTACCGATCAAGCCGTTTTTGCTTACCCCCACGCACACATCTAGGTTTCAGCCATATAATTCCCGCCCAAAACCCTTTTCATGCCCACCCTAAAAAACCTCCCAAACTCGCCATAGGTTTTGAATCTTTGATCCTTCAAGCTACCAGGTACAGCTTCAATGGCGGAAACCGAAACTCCTGATGGTAAAAATGTCATCAAAATCGAGGAAGAAATTGAAGGAGACCTAATTTGCACCAAAAACTACCGGTTCAGCAGAATCGGAGAGCCCGTTCCCATCAAATCCGATGCCGATTTCAAATTCGACGAGGAAAGCGTTCCGCGTCGTCCGTTGGCAGTTTCGGAAAAGTTTGGAGTCATTTTTGTTGCGCATCCATCCGGTGAGAGGTCTTCCTCGTTTGTAGTTTATTATTACAATTTATCGTTTGAAGGTTAGTTAGGGCCATATGTCGGGAGCACTGAGTATTCCTATTGGTGTACTAGAGTTATTACAGTACTGATATTTTCGTAGTCACTATAATTTCCCCGACCGAATTGTTAGGGTTTGGTGAAGAAGTTCGTTACCGTATCTGCTTATAATGCTACCTGGGATCTTGGATAGGTTGCTGCTAGAGTTTCGTGTTATGAGGTGCTGTTGCACTGCTGTTTTATAGAAACTAATACGTAATTTGTCATCCTCACCAACTTACTCGTTGGTTTTTAGTGCATGAGGAGAACGGTACTTGTTCCTTCTGTCCTAGAAGGGAGAGGAAGGAGAAATATTTAGGCTTGTGAACTGTGAGCTCAAAAGAGCCCATACTTCAAAATTATCAGATTATGAAACTTTTCCAACAAAAAATGACAACTACAAAGAATACTGTTACATGGACTGCATATTGAAAAATATTGTAACAAATTTGTACCAGACCCCAATTAGAATATTACCAAGCTGGAACTGGAACTGGAACTCATAGTTTCAATATTTTTAATCAAACGTGGAACATATATATAAAAGGTTGTTGATATCCATAATGTTACTTCATTTGGTTGCTTCTAGGGTTTTGTGTTGCAAGGACCAAAGATGTTATGGACACAGCGAAAGAGTTGAAAAATGGAGGTAATGGTTCTTGTATACAGGAGCTGGGTGTTGCGGATGTTCCTCTTGGAAAGGTTTCCATACTTGCATTGTCTCCAAACTCTTCCATGCTTGCCGCCTCTGTTGAACACAACCTTTATTTTTTCTCAGTTGCCGGTCTTCTTAATAAGGTACGGGCCACTTTTGTTTTTCTCTTGCTATGGGTATAACAATCAAGGGTGGTGCTTCCATGTATTAGGCTTAAGCATTTGTTTATAAAATTATCCTCTGATTGTCTCACTTCTTGAAGTTGACTTCTTTTTTCTTTCTTGACGTCAAAATGCATATTCTAGAAGCTGAAGGATTTTAGCATGGTCATTTGATGTGAATGAAGAATAATTTTGGTATAGAATTGGTGCAACAACATTTTGAATACAAGGCTGTATTTTAATTTGTTTGTTCCTTTCATTCTCAGGATCATGAACCATCTTTCTCCAAATCACCCAATGGCTCAAGTTGCATCAAGGACATGCAGTGGAGTACACATTTGGAGGACCAGTATGTTGTTCTTACAACCGATGGAAATCTCTATCGTGGAGCTGGCCAAGACGTTCTTAGTAATTTAATGGACAATGTCGATGCGGGTAAATATAATATTCTTGAGTGCTGAAGGTTGTCCTGGGTTGGTTAATAGCCTGCACTTGGTTTTGTCTGTATATATGCTTAATTGCTGATTATATAATTTTAAACGATTATATACTGTTTGGTTTTTTAGTATGAAAATGGGGTTAGCACCAACACAAGCAAGCCGTGTTTTGTCTTATTAATTCTGACACTGTTTTTTGCTTTGTGTAGTTAACTGGAGCATGAATGGAAAATTTCTTGCCGTGGCAAAATATGAATATGTAATCATTTTATCTTCAAAATTTGAAGAGAAGTCACGGATAAAACTCTCATTTGATTCACTGCTAGGTGATTCCGATGCCAATTGCGTTGTAAAAGGTATCTTAATATCTGAATTCCTTTAACTTTGGAAACTTATACGCTTGTAGTCTACTTCCATATGACTTGGCTTTCTTGTGTAACTTTAAGGATGGTTATGCCACAAGCCCACAACTACCTAAGAATGTTTTTTGACTTGTTGGTTGGTTGATCACTCTTAAACCATATCTTCTTCTAGGTTTGATTATAGAATTGTTTGAATTGACCAATCATATTTGCTTGAAAGGAAACACACATGCACATACATCTCTGAAGATCCTTGAATTTACAACACAAGGGGTGTAGAGACTCAATTGGTACTATTTGGTCAAAGCCCACTTAGTTACCATACGAATAATTTAGATGACAGTTTAAGCATTTTGGAGTCTTAGGCGGAAGGCGACTAGCTCTTTTCTGGTTTTTATTTATTTTGTCAACATGAGCTTATTGCAAATGCTTATCAGTGTTGGATTAATATCTTGTATATGACTCTTCTCCACATAGGGAGGATGGTTTGGATGATTATTCTGTCCAGCAGCAGTAGAATTGGGATATCACGTCATCTTATTAGAATTAATTAGAAATATTGGAAATTTATTTTTAACTTACACATGGAATTATAACTTCTAAAATCATTCTACACACAAATTAGAAGAGTGCTTTATTTCTATTACCTAATATAGAATTATAGTTGTGAAGTGTAGACAACTTCAAGAAAGTGTATGGATGCAGTATTTATTAAAGCTATTCTTTATCAAAGTTAATTAACTTTGTTCACCATGCATGTTAACATCTCTCTGGCAGGAAATGCTTGTGTTCTGTTTTTTGCCTTCCATTTGAAGGATGTGTGTATGGTGTATTTTTACAAGTCCAGATGGATTCTGAAGTGTCTTTGTGCTTTCCTTGCAGTGGATTGTGTCAGGTGGGTTCGCCCAAATTGTCTTATCTTAGGATGTTATTGTCAGAGTCCCGATGGGAAGGAAGATAACTATCTACTTCAATTCATTACCGTCAAAGATGGAAAAATTACCAATGTAAGTAAACACTTTATCTGTATCTTTGGTGTTGAAGAGGATATAGATGAGCTTCTTGAGGGATTTGGTCCCGAGGTAAGGAATAACCAGTTACACCAAAAAAATGAAATTATAAAAATCCTTTTGTTGCTCAATTATCTCTTAACCTAGCTATGTTAGGCTCAACGGTGAGGTTTTCTCTTCTTCTTTGACATAATTTTGTATTAGAGTTTTGTGTATGATTTAGATCCATAAAATTTACATGTGGGTTTAGTTGAGTTAGAATCAATACAAGTTTGATTTGATCACACAAAATTTGTTGTATTGCAGCCCTCTTCCAATCCAGTGGCATTGACCTTTTGTGATGCTTTCCTTACTATAAATGACGATTACATTCCGTTTGGAAATGGACCTTATATGCTCGTGAATTACTTGGATGAATGGTATGTTTTTTGGCCCTTAGTATAATTTATGCTTTGAAAATGATCTTGTATTCTTGTGTGTGTAGTTTTGAGATTATGTTTTTGTGTGTGTGTAGTTTTGAGATTATGTTTTTGTGTGTGTGTGTATGTATATTACTGCCAGTGAGTAGAGAAGAGATAAAGATTGAATGATTTCAGCCATCAAAATTTTAATCAATCTTAGTCGTTTAAATTGAGTTTTTTGTCACACAAATCTTTAGGGTGAACATTGGATAGGTGGTTACTAATTGGATAAAGTTCAAAGCATAAAAATTGCTAATAATATTATTTGAATATTCTAAATTATGGTATTATTAAAATTTTGAATACTGTTATTAATTTATTTTCATAAAACTTAATAATCTTTTGAGTAAATTCCGATTTTAGTCCCTATGGTTTGTTGAAAATTTCTATTTTTGTACTTAAAGTATTGAAATTACAATTTTCATCCCTATGGTTTATAGTTCATTACCTTTTTCGTTTTTATAATTTTATATTTATTCCTTTTTTCATCCCTATGGTTTACAATTCCTTTCTATTCTAGTTCTTCATACTTAAAAGTAGTGTTTTGACCTCAAGGACGAAAATAGAAATGAATTACAACCATAGGGATGAAAACTGAAATTTTGAAACCATAGGGACGAAATTCGTAATTTTTTACAAACCATGGGGATGAAAAATGTAATTTACTCTATTTTTTTTTTAAAATTAAATGATTTTTGTTTTATATTTTAAAAAGTTTTATATCATGTTTTTTAAATGATATTTAATACCCATTGATGCTAATCGGATAATGTAAATCTATTCAAAATAGAAAGTTTGTTAATATTATTATTTGAATATTCTATAAGTATGGTATTATTATAATTCTGAATACTGTTATTTATTTGTTTTAATAAAACGTAATATTTTTTTAGGTTAAACAATTTTTGTTTAGATTTGAAATATCTTTGTAGCATGTTTTTAAATGATTTAATACCCACTATGTTTTCTTGTTAATGAAGTATTTCAGACATATGATTAATAATCAAGCGTTTCTATGAAACTATGTGTTATGTTAAACATTATCTTTTAGATAGAGCATAAAATATACGATAATAATAAAAATAATACTGATAATGATAATACTAATAAGTAGTCTTAATTTTTTTACAAATTAGGTTAAATTATAACAAACCAATATCAATAAATAAGTTTAAATTATATTACCATAAGTAATTAATAAGTTTATGCTAAAAGAATTACATGTAAAATCAACATGCTATTTTTTAAATCTATCGGTTAAAAGTTATTTATTATTTATAAAAAATTACCTGTGCAACACATAGGCAATCTTGCATTTTTTATGGAAAAATTTATAGAAAATTATGCAACACTTTTGAATATGAGTCTGGTGTAGTCAGTGTTATGGATCTTATTGTCATCAAGGACCTGAGTCACCTTCAACCTTCTTGGTTCCTCATCAACAATTGTTGATTTCTCACGACATGCTTTTTCAAATTTCTATATTACTTGTGTGATGTACTTGAGTTTAATTATGATTAACAATTTGTTTCCATTGTGATAATGTAGCAATTTATGATCTTTTTCTTGACATCTGTATAATGATCGTACTGGTTTATTTTAGTATAATTTTTGTGATTGTGGGCAATTATGGTTTAACCTGATCTGGATTACTGTGAAATGATTAGAGGTTTGATAGATTTCATTGATATATGAAACGTCGATACTTGAATTAGGATGTTGCTAGTGTTTTTTTAAACATGAGGTGCAAAGGTTGTGTTACAGGTAACTAAAAGACAATTTGCAATTCGCACCAAATGGTAGGATTACAGGATTTCTTCAAAGAATCGACTTTCGAGAGGTCGATTTCTCTCCAATGGAATTGTTATAAAAAAGAATGAATCAGTACCCTACTTCACCACACATACTTTGTTTTATACTCAGCGCCCTTCCCACCTATTTTCACTATTTTTCCTGCCCAAGTAAGAAAATACCATAATACCCCTGTTATTTCTTCCTTCTCAAATATGTATGCAATATCGGTGGCTTAACAATACCCCCTCCCAAAACATTCACCTTGTCCTCAAGGTGAAATTATGGAAACTATGCATTAATCGCTTCCCAATCTTCCTATGATGCCTCAAACAGTGGTAAATCGTGCCACTTAATCAAAACTTCAGAATTTCCTTCCCTCGTTCTATACTGCAAAACTGCTTCGGGTTCCACTCGTAACTCCATCTCCTCGGTCAATTGGGTGGGAATTATTTGATTCAAAAAACTCTGTCCAATGGCACGCCGAAGTTGTGAAATGTGAAAAACAGGATGTATTCTTGCTGTTGCGGGCAATGCCAAACGGTATGCCACTATGCCTATGCATTCCAATACTTTAAAAGGCTCATATAAACGGGCAAACAACTTTTGATTTTGTCGTTTGCGTAAAGATTGTTGTTGATAAGGTCTCAATTTCAGATACACCTTATCCCCCACCTCAAACGAATCCTCCCTACGGTGAATGTCTGATTGACCCTTCATTCTCTGTTGTGCACAGATCAAATGTAGCCTTAGATCATCTAACTTGTTGTCCCTTTCCAATAACATCTCATCTACCGCCTGGACACGGGCTGTCCCTTCTCTGTCCCTTCCCATGTCCCTTCTCTGGACATGGGCTGTCCCTTCTCTACCATACTGAGCTTTAAATGGGGAACAATTCAAGGATGCATGGTACGTAGTATTATGCCAATACTCTGCCCAATTAAGCCACTTTCACCATTGTTTGTGCTTTTCATTCACAAAACAACGCAAATATTGTTCCACACTTCTGTTAACTACCTTCGATTGACCGTCAGAATGTGGGTGGTAAGCTGTAGAAAAACATAACTTCGTTCCTTTCAATTTAAAAATCTTTCTCCAAAATTGACTCAGGAACACTTTATCTTTCTGGAATTGTAGATACTGATGGGGCGATTATTCACAGGTTCTACTACCTCTTTCAATTTAATCCCACGTTCCTTCCCTCGATCGGGTGGTAATCCAGTAGGACTTTGGAATACTTGTTCGTACGTTTCCAAAACCTCCGTCTGCAAGGTACATCCTTCATCCATTAAACTGCCTAGCTCAACTAATATCCCTTGACCTTCCATTCAGACTGTTTTCATCATAGCTTTAAAGGACACCGAAGTTCTTCCAAGAGCCGTTTCTCCCTGAATTTTAACCGACTCTTCTGCCCATTGAAACTTCATGGTTTGAGTTTGGCGGTTCACCTGCATCGACCCCAAAGAAGCCAGCCACTGGATTCCCAGGATTACATTGGAATTCCCCAATTTCAGTGGTAAGAAATCCCCTTTGATTTCAATTCCTTGTATCCACACGTTCACCCCCTTTACACATCCCTTGCCCCAATATGGCTGTTCCATCTCCCATAGTTATGTCATACCCAATGGTCGGACAAACAGGAAGGCCCACTCTCTCAACCACATCCCATGAAATGAAATTATGGGAGACACCACTATCAATTAACACTACAGTCTTCTGATTTCCCATAAGCCCTTCTAATTTCATTGTTTTAGGGGATGCCAATCCCACGACTGAATTTAAGGATACATTTACCCCTGGTTCTTTAATTGCATTTGCCAATTCTAAATCGCTGTCAGCATGTTCCTCTCTTTTCTCCTCTGCCCGCTCCATCATCTCTTGCAATACTTCAACGTTAAGCTCTTTTTTCTTGCAACGATGTCCAAGGATATATTGCTCTTCGCATTGATAGCACAACCCTTGCTGACGACGTTGTTGGAATTTTTTATCGGACAATTTGCGATATTCATTCGTTCCTATATTATCACCATTTCCAACCTTCATCCCACCCTCGTTTCCATTCTTTTCTCTTGATTTGTAATCGAAGGGTTTCCTCAAAGGTATAGATACCTTTGAATTACCCCAACGGTGAACCGTCTTATTTCTTTCCTCTACCCTTGCTGCCACTTCCATAGTTTTGTTCAGTCCCACCAGTGATAACAACCGTACTTCTGTTCGAATTTCAGATCGCAGACCATTGATGAATTGGCTTACAAATATCTCGTCAGGAATTCCCTCCAACGGTGCTGCTGCCGATACAAAGTTCCATTTATAATCGGCCACAGTTCCCTCGTGCTTAACGGCTAAGAATTGTTCACAAAGGGTTCCTTCAGAGTTTGTCTGAAATTGGATCAAAATCAAACTCTTAAGTTCTTCCCATCTCACAATCGGTCGCCTCTTATTTTCCCATTGATACCACTTCAATGCGTCTTCCTCAAATGCGATCACAGCCACCTCCAAACATTCTTCATTTGTCAATCGGTTCAAATTGCAACACCGATCAGCCCTGAGAATCCATTCATCCGGGTCCGATTCATCAAACAACGGTATCTCTAACCTTCGACCTTTAATTGCAAGAAACGATCCGTTATCATTCAATCGTTCATTTATTCTGGTCCATCTTTCTTCTTCTTGCGATGGTTCTCCATTTTTTGCAGTCCGTCGGCTTATCTCCTCTTGTAACCAGATCATGGTACTCATCTGTTGCATCATCGCCTGCATACTCCTTTCCAGCGATTCAATTTCGCCCTGAAAAATCGCCACATTTCCTTCCAGATCTTCGACTCGATTTGTTACTGATCGGGTTGCCATCACAGTTTCGAACCGCTCTGATACCAATTTGTTACAGGTAACTAAAAGCCAATTTGTAATTCACACCAAAATGGTAGGATTATAGGATTTCTTTAAAGGATCGACTTTTGAGTGGTCGATTTCTCTCCAATGGAATTGTTATAAAAAAGAATGAATCAATACCCTACTTCACCACACAGACTCTGTTTTATACTCCAGCGCCCTTCCCACCTATTTTCACTATTTTTCCCGCCCAAGTAAGAAAATACCATAATACCCCTTTTATTTTTTCCTTCTCAAATATGTATGCAATATCAGTGGCTTAACAGGTTACCCTTGGGCATAGGTGCTAGGTGCACCGCTTAGCGAAGTATATAAATGTGTGTGTGTATATATACATAAATAAGTACTTTAAATAAAATTTCATGTTTTTGACTAATATAAAAGTTTGTTAGATTCAAGTATTCAAAAACTTCAACATCTAACTTTTAATAAATAGGATCACTTTAATAATCGAACGTGTCAAGATTTAAGTATGCAGAAATTTTAATAAATATATCACTATTACTTTTTGAGAGAAAAAGAAGTATAAAAGAAAACAAAACCTGGCCCAATTTCTGAATTATATTTAGTACAATATGAGGTACTTCGTGTTGTTGTTTTTTGCACAAGACTACCAGAACAATAAGATCTCGAGTGTAGACCTTGTGAGCCCATCCCTACTCCCTGCCAGAGCTTCTGGTCAATGGCCATGCACATCTCAGCACCACGATGGGGGGCCTTTGGCTTCCCATCCGTACTTGCCTGCTTTACCTGCTGCTGGTTCTTATCATACAAGCTTTGGTTACATGTTCTCAGTCTCTCTCATTGGAGTGAGATTCGGAATCATCTTTACCAAGCCATCAAAGTTGGAGTTATATGAAAATGGTCGCCTCATGCACCTTTCCCCTTGGTGAGTCGCTGTTAAGGTGTGGGTTGCTGCGCCTCATGCAAGGTAAGGTGCAACAGTCTCACTTCACTGGGCCTCTCTCTAGGCATGTGCCTAAGGCTTGCCTCTAACAAGTAACAAAAGTCGGTGCTGGATGTGCGAATTCGTGTGGACCTTGGGTGGGGAGGTGGGGTAATACGCACCGGATGTGCATCTTTATTGAAATTAAAAACAAATAACTTGGGGTGTAGGTTGGGTGCATGTGATTTACCTTTTGACTTGTTTCAGTAGTTAATTTTTAGCTTTTAAGTTACTGTTTCTAGGCTTCATTAATGTTCCCAAAAAGAAAGAGAGTAAAAAAATTGAACACTTCTAAAGCTTAGACATCTTAATATATAGTTTCTGAACAAAAAATATTCATATGTTGACCCTCCAAATTGTCAAAGTCTTGACATTTGTATTCTAATTCTCTCCTCATATCTTCTTATTCGTACACCAAGGTCTCCATTACATGTTTATGTGGTTGTAGGGTACGTCATCCATATAGAGTTTGATCAGCACGTCTTTTAATGAAATTTTGCCATGTGTTCAAATGGTTTGATGCTTTTTGTTTGTTAAGGTATTTTGTCTAATTGTTTGTATGTAAATACAGACATGGCAACACGTTACTGGGATGTAGTACACCTATACGACCTGTGGGCACAACTGGTATGGGTACGAAAGTACCCTTGATAACTGGGTTGTCTATATGATTGCTCGTTTTTTGTACCCATGCACCCACAAAGTTCAGAAAATATCTACCATTTTTCTATTTGTCAGAGAAGATGACTGAAGGGAACATCTACATTAATATAATAAAGTTGAAAAAATTTAACAAATTTAAAATGAAGTTATCCAACAAAAATAAAACCTGGTTTAAAACAAATATTATAAGTTAAACTCACAAAACATGTAAAGATAATAACGATAACATTATGGATGATATTCTTAAGAAGGATGCTATCTTTTTGAGGTTTTATTTTTACTTGCTATTTGTTTTACGCTATCTAGGGTATGCTAGTAGCTAGCAAGTAATTTATTGATTGTTTCAAATAAAAGAAAAAGCTAGCAGGTCACCGCAGGTAAAACAGGTAAAAGTGTCTATGATCTTTTGTAGTCAAAAGCTTTACTGAGTACTTGTGTTTTTGTGGTATATCCCTAGGTACAGATAAATTTTGGTGGGTCTATGTACATATATAAATGCATACGTGGCACCAAGATTTTAGTATATCTGAAAATGTTGAATCCACACGGCTGGTACGGATCACACTTGATACTTATGGTACCCAATAGACGAATAAGTTTCTGTGCTTGCTATTGAACTAATGTGTTGGAACTTGGAAGGTTGAAGTCCTTATCTTTCAATCTTCTTAACTAGTTGTGAAGGTACTTCTGGTTTAGTATACTAATTCAAAATGTTTAGTTTAAGGCCACATGGTGTTATTTGCTTATGGGTGTACCTTGTGAATTGTGATACATAAGTATGGGAGTGATTATTGTAACTTAATGGGAAAAATCCTTGGCTGAGTTCACTGTTAGGTTTACGCTTCTGTAAAGGCGCTTAATGTGTACAGCCATGGAATTTGCATTTGAAAATTGGAATTAGTAACTTCACTGCGGGAGTGGTTATAACTTTCTAATAGGTATTGTGTGTCAATGACGGGCCTCAATAACCTGATACAATTATAACATGGTGGTGGCTGTAAATGTATCGCAGTGCAGCGGATATGTGATATCCTTCTTAATTGAAGGAAAGCTACTGTGTATATGTTATGCTGGAATTAAGACTTGGTGTGAAGGTGAGAGGACTTTGATGGTCAAAGAAGTGCTAAAAATTGTCAGCCAACACCCTGTAAAGTTTTTTTTTTCCTGTTCCTTTCTCGGCCTGTTTTCGTTACGAAAGTTTTGTATTGTGTTAATAGCATTGAGAGCTGCCGTAGGTTATTCTTGGCTTAATTAGGCATTAATGGCAACATGAAAGTGGCTTCCTGAGTTCCTGTGAAAAGGAAATGTTACATATTTGTCTCTTCAAGCTTAAATTATTCATGTGATCTTTTTTGTGCAACAGACTGCTTATCTTCTATCTTCTACTTTTCTGACTTCGATGAGCTGTATGTATAGATATACAAAAGATGGATAGCTTTTTGCTATTTTATTTAAGTAATATTGTTAATCTTGCTGTTGTTGTTGGTACTATTATTATTTCAAGGACAGCTCATTCTTCCTCATGTTCAAGACCGGAGACTATCTTCTATGTGGCTCATTTTTGTGTAGTAACAATTTTTATTATTTGCAATATTCTCTGCAGGATCTTACATATTAATCTGCTAATCCCATGTTCTTTTTGAATCATATGCAGTGATGTTGCATTTGCTACTCATAGGAAGAGCACGGATCAACATATTGTTCTATTTGGTTGGTCATCAGATGAGAAGAATGAAGCTAAAATGATAGAAATCTCGGATGATGCGTGGCTGCCAACAATTAGTCTTCAAGGTAACCTTGACATCTGCTATTATTTTGATTCATTTTGTTAAAGTAATAAGACTGAGGAGGGATTATTAAGATTTCCTCAGTTGAGAGTTGTCTTCTTGATTGGGAGGAGATTTTCTTATTGAGGTTCTTTCTTCTTTCTAATTAAGCATGTCACAAATTCATGTTTGGCAAAAATGGTTTGTTCTGGTCAACATTTTGTGGTGAACTGGAAGAAGCGAAAGGGAGGTTTAGTGTTGGTAAGGGGACTTTGGCTGATACGATATGTTTGTGAAGGTTTTTAAAGATATCCTTGAATTTGCATGTCAGGACCTCTTAATTGGGAAGGTATTTTAGCTATGGTGTTATCTTGGTGGATCTGGATGCATTAGTATCGTTTGTAGTTTTAGGTTGTCCACTTGCTTCTACTTATGTTCTTGGGTTCATTACAATGTTGTTATGGATCTTCTTTCTATTGGCCTATGGAGGAATACTTGGAAGCCTGATGGTAAAGGGTTAATAATGTGGGTTAGATTTACAAGTTCACACACATATTTATGCATGTTCCTAATTAGAGTTGTTTCCTGCATCAGATAACAGTGATGATAATCTGATCCTGGGGTTTGCTGTCAACAAAGCTTACCAGGATGACAATATTAGATTTGTGCTCGGCGAAGAAGATACAGAAGTTTCACCGTGTTGTGTTCTTCTGTGCCTTACCCTTGATGGAAAACTTTTTATGTTTCATTTTGCCAGGTATTTCTCATTTGTTGATTTTGATATTTGTTCATTTGGCTTGATTGGTGTGTAGCTTAATCAGATGATGCTTAGCTTACAACTTCTTATGTAGCGCCACAGGCCCTTCAGTTCTATCCGAGGATGTAATTTCTGTTTCTGATGAGGAAGAGGTGTCTTCTTCCCTTGGTTCTCAGCAGCGGATTGATATTTGTAACGAGGAGACGCAAATTGGGGATCAGGCGCTTAATGAATTACAGCCTCAGAAAGTAAAAATGAATGAATCAAGTTTTAAAACAGGCTATGAGGCTCATATGAGGAGCGGAGACGAACAGACGAAGTCTACGGCATTTCCAAAGCTATTATTAGGTGGTACACAACAAGATGTTCCTGTTGCAAGGCTAAATGATAGCAGAGATGAAGCGAGGTCACTTCCTTCTCAGAAGCAAGATAGCGATTTTGTGGCGACACTGTTTAAAGCATCTGAGCCTGTAAATCCTGAAGCAGTTAAAGATCTGAAGAGGTTTGAAGATCAAGAAGTTGCTAGAGTTAAATCAAGTGCTGATTCTGTTTCAAATTCTGCACATGATAAATCAGACAGTAAACATTTTGGAGTTTCCCTTGAAGATATCAGCGCGAGTAGAAAATTGCCGGTCAATAAAGAATCCACTGGTTTTCATGGTTCCTCTGGATCTTTCTCAAGTGGATCGGTGTTTTCTTCAAATATTTTTGGGGTGCAATCTTCCTCCTCATCTCATGCTGGTGTTCAAGGGAGTGCACAACAAGATCTTCCATTTGCAAGGCTGAATGATGGTAGAGATAACGGGCAGTCACTTTCTTCACAGAAGCATTATGGCAATTCTGACGTGGCACTAATTAAAGCATCTGAGCCCGTAAATCCTGGAGCAGCTAAAGATCTGAAAAGGTTTGAAAATCAAGAAGTTGCTGGAGTTAAATCAAGTGCTGCTTCTATTTCAAAATCTGCAAATGATAAATCTGACGACACACTTTTTGGAGCTTCTTTCGAAGATCGCAGGGCAAGTAGAGAATTTTCGGTCAATAAAGCATCAACTGGTTTGGATGGTTCATCTGGATCTTTTTCAAGTGGATCAGTTTTTTCTTCAAATACATTTGGGATGCAATCTTTCTCTTCACCTCATGCTGGTGTCCAAGGGAGTGCAGAATTGTCAGGGAAACCAGGATCGACTAATCTGCATGTTCCATCTGGATCATTTTCTAGTGGAGGCATATTTTCTTCGAAAACGTTTGATGTGAAGTCTCCTCTAGCACCTCATGCTGCTGTCCAAGGAAATCGACATGATACCAGTGCAGGAGTCGCACAATTTTCTTCTGGTCCTCAGAAAATTTCATTTCCCAAGATGATTTCTGGTCCATCGACTTCGAGCAATCTGCTTGGCCAGGGAGCTTCAACTGGAGCTGGGTTTACATTGCCTGTTGTTTCTAATGTACAACCTATTCTTGGAAAATCTTCTGCCTTTGAATTTTCTGACAAGGGAAATCAAAGAAGTCACACTCCGCCAAGGCTATTAAGTTCTGAACCAAATCTATCAGAACAACGCAGTGTAAATGATCTTGAACTTTTTTATCTTGCTGTTAGATTTGATTTAATTATAACCGATCCTTATCTTTAAGTTGGTTTTTCTGTATATCTTTCTTATATATGCTTGTTTTTCATAAGCAGCCTTTAATTGATCACCTGCTAGTTTTTCACTAAATTGGTTATAGCCTTTGAGCTTCCTGCAGATGCAGGAAATGTGTTAACTGACTACTTTATACTTCTTTATATTAGTTCCTGGTACCAGGATAGTGGTGTGCCATAAAGATGGTTGACAGTTAGTTGCTTGGTGGGTTTTGCATGAGTCATTCCTGAATGTTTTTAGTTATTTAGCAGCCTCTCCAAGGGAAGCATTGCAATTTTATTTGGCTTCACTGAGGGATTGTGTAGCATTTTGTGTAGCAACAGTTCATTGGTATCGGCCTCCTGTATTTTTGTACTTGCTTTTGAGTTTATAGTTTTCAAGTATGTTCATATCTGTATATTAATTTTTTTCTTCAGTCTAAAGTCTTACTATTTCGGGTATTAATACAGTTCTTGTTTCTTTCATATTATCGAGAACACATTTCTTAAAAATAAGCAAATTTGGAACTCACCCAGATAGTTATACTCTTCATGCGTGTTGTATAACACAGAAGCACTCTGTTACATTTTGGAAACTCTACTACTCTAGACTGGAAAGCACTCTAATTTATTCGATCACAGAATTATTTTGTTTTGCATTTGAGTCTTTAGTTTATCCAGGTTGAAGAGATGGCGAAAGAGCTAGATGCACTGTTGAATTCTATAGAAGGACCAGGTGGTTTCTATGATGCCTCTGTTGCTGCTCATAAACCTTCTGTTACGGCACTGGAAGAAGGCATTTGGGTACTTTCTGACAAATGCCGAAAGTGGATAGTGAGTTCCTTCAGATCTCTCCTTGCCTTATGTCTAATATCTATTTGGTTTTTATCTTGTGTATTAACTGTTGCTTCCTCAATTTACCTCTGTTGATTTTGGGATTTTTATTTCTGAACAAAGCTTATATTAGCTGCAAATCTGCGGGTTGACAAGCTTGAGACCACCCAGCATATGGGAGGATGTTAGTGTCATTTTGACAGTGAATGATAATGTTTGATACACAGAACCACAAATAGATGCTTTATGTATTATTTTGATGTGGACAGTATTAGCAAGTGGTGGTGATTGGCTTGCTGTTTGCTTGCAAAATAGAGAAAATCATTTTTTTCAGACATTTTAAGTACGAAGTTAGAACTTTAGCGTCTCATTTGAACATTGAGTTCATTTACTATGTTGTTACTAGTGTTAATTCAATATGAATTAGTGTATTCCCAAGTACATGAGCCATGTGCCAAGCTAGTAAATTACCTATTCTCTAATCAAAAGCCTAAGCAAATATTCAACTCACAATCATTTTTTTATATGGTCTTTGTTATTTTTTGTAGACAGATTCAAATACAAGGGAAGGTGCTAAGTTGTTACATATAGACTCCAATAGAGAGTTACACTCCAATAAGGAATTGCTTTAGAATAGTCCTTATCTTCCCTGTATTGTAATTAATCAACATGGCAATATACAAATTCATATTCTCCTAAAGTCTTAATTTTTCCTACAAGGTAATGAATATATTATACTTAGTATGCTTACAAAACCCTCTTTGTCCTTTTTAACCACCCTGAACACACAGAAAGAAACACTTGTCACTTTATAATCCACATAATAAACTTACATTGCAAAGACTGTTGGGGTCACCCAGGTTACTGAAGTTAGAATTTGAGTTCTATTTTCAAAGTTGAGTAAAAAGATATTTAATTGGATCGCTTTTGAAGAAATTTTAGCAATCTTACAGAGAGGTGGTTTAGTGCTGGGTCGTAAGGCATGACTTGGCAGTAAAAGGTGGAAGGAATTATATGGACATGAGAGAAGATCAGAGACATTGCAACAGATGTTTGGAAAGGGTGGGAATGGATCATTTTTTGTTGAGAAATGGGAAGTCAAATATTCATATGCACACACACAAAACTACATACATAGACTTATATATGTATGACAGAAGGGGAATGATTAATACTTGTGTTCAGCAACACCTGATATTTTTGTGTGCTCTAATTCTTTGCTTGCCCAGAGGATTCAGGAGTGTTGAAGAGATGCAGTGAGAGGGTACGAGGCGGAAAAAAAAACTTTCTGCAGTTATCATTTTGCAACCCTATTTAGTGATATGATGCTGCTTCAATCTAATTTTATCACAATGGTTACAGTTTAAATACATTTGCATGTCATGTGTTGATTCAATATGGAAAAGGAATGAAGAAGAAAAATATAGGGATTCTGCTCTGAATGCCGTAGTAGAAGTTTTTAATATTCCCTGTGGCATATATAATTGTTTCTTTAGCAAACTTGTTGCTTAAGCTTTGGTCCAGGCATACCTGCTTTATAGGTTTGCGATTTGTTTTGGGGTTATTTTATCACTGATAAGCAAGTCTGTTTTTCTATGTGGAGGGATTTGAAACAACAGATCTGATATGAATGGATCCTTTCTTGCAGAGATAGGCTGATAAGTTTGAAGACTATGGTGTTTGTTTACACTTTTTCCTCTTTAGTGATGAAGTGTTTGATAAGCATCATTGCTGATTTTACAGAAGTGCCTGAGCAAGTGGTGCGTGATAGGTGTTAGGAAAATTTCATAAGTTGCACATAAAAGTTAATATGCGAGGATGGACTTACTACCTGTTAGTTGGGTTTTGCATAACAGATGGGTTTTAGTTGCATAATGGGCCTTTGTGGGTGAATCAGACTGCAGATGGCAGTGTGTGGGACTGTGGGTGGCTTCTGTGTCCTAAATACATGGCCATAATCGTTGTTATAAGGAATGAAGCCTCTATAATCATAGTTGATGATGCCTCAAGAACAGTGATTGGTTGGGCCTAGGTTGCAGTTGCAGCAGGTCAATGCTGCAATTGGTTCCAAGTGGATGTTGATGCTACTGTGGCACCAACCTGGGTGTCAAGGCTGTAGTTACAGTTTTGTTGGTGGAGAAAGATGCATGGTTCATCGGCCTCAGATAGAAAGGTTTGAGGATAGTATGTTCCACTCATGAGGGAGATCTTGTCAGGAAACATGTGCATATTTTAACTTTTAAGCAACCCGCGGGTCCACAGTTGTGTTGGTCATCCCTGGTGAGATTGAACTGCAGCTTGTTGAGTATGGGATTCCGTTCTTTTTAGAAAGTGGTATATTAGCTCTGGCAACAGTCATGCTGGAAATTTTTGCCCAACATGGTTGACAAAGCGCCAGTAGCATTGTTCTGTGCAAGCATGTGATGTGCTATAAAAAAGTATTGAGGGTACATTGGCCCCTGATGGATGTTAAGGCTGTTGTTACCGAGGTAGCACGTGCTGCAACGTGACAACCCGAAAACATGCCATGGGGCACGGCCTGGTTGTGCGGTGTGCCTTTCACAAAACCTAAAATAAGAATTCAAGTACAATAAACCTTTCCTATAGTGATCAAATTAAAACAGGAATAATTAGCTAGTACTTTATTTTGTCTATACTTTGTTAAACCTTTTCTATATTTCTATAGAGGTCTGCTGCTAATATTTGTTGCTTGTTTGTAATTGATTTTTTTATTTTGTATCGTCATTATTACAGTTCCTGTGGTTGTGTCATTTTCTAGGAACATGAAATCAGTTTCAGTCAGTCATCTTCCATTCTACATTTTTGTTTGCTTACTGCTCATAATATCTATATCTGTTCCTGTATTCGTTGTATTTTGCATATTTTCCTTTACATTTCAAAGCAGATGGAAACTTACAAGTACTTGGTGTTGGCAATTAATACTTAATCTCTATTCAATATGATTCTCTGTAGTCTGAAATAGTTGCCATACTGACCTTGTAGAACACAATGGATCGAGGAATTGGAGAGGTTCAGCTTCTTCTTGATAAGACGGTTCAAGGTACATCAAAGTTATGGCAAGTAAATGATTATGATCTTATGTGATGATTCATATTGCCGAATAGCGTACTTGTAGTAAAAAGGGAAGGGTGCATTATAGACCAGCAACTAATGAATATACTATATTCACATGCACTTACTTGAGATACTGCAATTCATTCAAGCTTTGGTTCATAATGTTGATAGATGCCGGCTATGCAACTATGGGCTTCTAGGTTAATACATAACCCTGTAAATCACAAGAGAAAACTTGGAAGGCTGCAGTTTCAAACTTTCATTACACTTGACCTCATTTTACTTGAAATTCAAATGAACTACTTTTGTTTGGATTTCCTGTAGAAGAGTGGAACATTTAGTTCACCTAGAGTGAACTTCTCGTGTTAACAGCACTTAATAATTTCCCATTGGTGCGTCCCATATCTTTAGAAGAATGACGTGCTAGAGATCTTACATCATACATTTGCATGTGCCGTAGCTGAGACTGTGTCCGTGTATCAACCTTTTCTGCTATGTGTTGGTTCTTGGCTTGTTCAGGAAGTCACATCATCTCCAAGAAGCATAAATATCCATATTTCTGGAAATATGTAGTTGGTGTACCCAGGGGTGCCTGGGTGTAGGATCAAGAGGTGCTTGGTGGAGTGAAATCGTAGTTGAATATGGTTTTATTAGGTGTCAACCTAACCTTTTCTCCATCAGTATTGAGGATGGAAAAACAGATATGCACAAAGATATGTTGTTTCAGAAAATGGCCCATTATTTTAATATGAGGAGACTTACTTGACTTATATGCTCTTAGAAGAAAAAAGTTTAGAGGATGTTTTGTGGCAGGTTAGACCTTTACGAGGATCCTTCACATCTGTAAGGCGCTAGCAATAGAATAAGGAGTGCTGCAAAAACTGATCTAATTAACTTGGGGGGAGGGGTGTCAAATGTTAATGTGACTGAAAGTACATTATATCGTTGAGCTTGCCTACTATACTTTTTCTTTCTTTTCGTGAATCATCAAATTCTCATCTCCCAAATTTTAATTTGATGCAAAAAACATCTATGGATATTTTGGAGCCAGAGGCATCTGTTTCTAAGAGCTGAAACAGATGTTTCTTGATACCAATGTCAAAGTCTGCTTTATAATATACCTTCCCTTGCTCTGTTCCTTCTGAATATGTAGATGCACACTTTCATATCCTTGTTTTTGAGTATTATGGTTCGAGTCAATTTCACTTTAAACTTTAGCTATAACCTGAAAGAGTATATCCTACCAGTAGTTCGCTTTAATTTACAATCAGATTCGATGATTCTTATATTCATATCAGCTGCTTCACTTTACTTTAGTTTTGGCAAGGAAAATATATATGGAAGCAATTGTCAAGCAGGCGACTGATAGTCAATACTTGGATATTTGGAATCGCCAGAAGCTGAATTCTGAACTGGATATGAAGCGTAAACATATATTAGAGATAAATCAGGTATCCAGTTGTTTGTTTGCTGATGTTTGTTTCGTTTTTATGACAAATATCATTACAACAGTTCCTCTCTGCCAGAATCTGACAAACCAGCTAATAGAACTTGAGAGGCATTTAAACACCCTCGAGCTACAAAGGTTTGGTGATAATAGAAGTGATGTCCTAATGAATCGTAGATCTTCCCATACAAAACATGGTCCACCGAGGTATGAATTTTCCATCACCAGTTGTCCTCTGTATTATAATTTGAAAATATATGTGAAAAAGAGGGCAAGATTCAGTTGGGTAGGTGTTTCGTTGCTTCCAGGAACACTGCTTCTTTTCAATATTACATAGCATTTTGTTGTAATTCTGGAAACTATCATATAGAGCAAAGTGCTTGCACTTGAGTAGGTTATAGGCTTGGCTATTTTTGTCAATTTCTTTCATTTGTGGCGCATTTTGACAGCTTCATGTAATTGGGGCCCACAAAATGAAGTTGGAAAATGTAAAGGAAATTCTCAAGACAAAACAGGTTCGAGTTTTAATGTGAAATGACTGCTGTTTAAGATACCGACGATCAAACTCAAGTTGGCTGACCATGGCAGTTATTACATTATGATTTTAAGTCTTCTCTTGACCCTTCACCTGACCTATAAGAATCATCCTCTTTTTTCTTGTTTTTGTGAAATTAAGTTTCCTTGAGGGAACATATGGTAACTCATACATCTTTTATGTAGATTAAGCCCAAATGCCAAATAAGGACTCCATATCAATAATGTACATAAACACAATCTGCTTACAGCCTAGACTGTCTTCAAAAGTTGTTCCATGGCCCATCTTAACTTTTCAAGAAAGGTCATTGCAATTGCAAGAACAGAGTCCCCAATTTATTCAAGTTACCCATCTATGTTTCAATGTTGACAACCCACCTATGTTTCAATGTTTTTTAATCTTCCAACATTTTCTTGTTTGGAACCTCTACCATTAGCGAGTTTTTGGTGTACCAGTGTTCTGTGGGGTCATCAATTGTGGTGTCAATGTTGTTAGCTTGGATCCAAAGTCCTTTCCTGCATTATACGTGATTGTAAAGCTGCAGGAACTTCCAAGGAGTCTGCAACAGAACAAAACTCTTCACAACGAACTGCCAAAAACATAATTATAGTTTAACGAACTGACATGAAAAATGCTTGAGGCAGGCATCATTGTCCACTGGAACTCAAGCCAGACATCACACACCTCTGTGATCGCATGAACTGATTGGTTGTTTGTTTGTTATATTTTAGCAAACAAGTGAGATAATTTTTTTTAAAGTACAGTCACTCTTGGGTGCCCATAATTGATACTCTGTGAACTAGGAAGCTTTGGTCCACACACATATGTAAGTATCATTATGAAATCCTTGAGTGTATTAGCTTGTATCATTTCTGCAGCTATGTAGTATCTTCTGGCACATGGCTCCGGAGCTCTATTTCTCTTTTGATATGTGAAAACCACACACTTTCAGATCGCGGTTGCACATCATCGGTTTTGATAATACTTACCTGCCTGTTAGTTAACTTTTTTCTGGTTAGGCTTAATCAGAGAGACGTTTTGCAGGCACATTCAATCTCTGCACAGTTTACACAACACAATGAATGCACAGCTAGCAGCTGCAGAGAAACTTTCCGAATGTCTTTCGAAGCAAATGGCTGTGCTTAGTATAGAGACGGAACCGGTGAAAAATCAGAATGTGAAAAAGGAGTTGTTTGACACAATTGGAATCTCTTATGATGATACCACTTTCAGTTCTCCAGGTCAAGAAAAATCCAGGGAGATCCTGCTAAAAAGTAAAGTTCTAGTTCCTTCATGTTCAACTGCTGCCAATACCAATCTGAAGAAAAGCCAACAAGGTGCTGTAAAGAGTTCTGAACCAGAAACTGCTAGAAGGCGCAGAGACTCGCTTGATAGGGTAGCATCTTTTTCTTTAATTATGCTATTTAGTATATGATTCATGCAATTCTGCTTGATTAAAGAAGGATATCAGAGAGTATATAATATTTATATACGGCAAATTAAACTTACGCACTTCTCGCTGTTGGCAAGACTTGAACCCTTGACCTCTAAGAAGGTTCGGGTTACAAGGTAGGCGAAAGGCCCTTTGGTCATTTACAGTAGTTCCATTAAAAGCAGATGTGAAGTTTATGATTTGATATGGTCCAGAATTTATGAATCAGGATAAGTATAACAATTCGACAACAATGTCCTCCTACATGTGAGCCCATGTCCGAACTAAAAAAGGCAGGGGTATAAAGCATGCCATCTCACATTCCTGGGGGCTAAATGAACTTCTATAATAGATCAAGAATAATCTTCATGTCCGAACTAAGGAATTATAGATCATGCCATCTTGCATCTATGGGGGACAAATAAGCTTTTATATTAGATCAATGACATTCTCTTCCCCCATGTAAATTGCAACATTGACTTTGCACCAAATTTAATCGTTTTTTTGACTGTTTGTTGAATATTTAAATACCCTTCACTAAAGACACTAGAGGAATCTTGTGGACCCAAATCAATATCATTAATGTATTCGTAATGATAATACTGGGCAAATAGGCAACCACCACGCAGAAACACTCCAGAGAAGGCAATTCTGCATCTCCATGGAGAGGAGTTTATGCATTTTCATGGCAAAAGGGAAATGTTTCAACTCCCATGGATACCCAGCAAGGGAAGTGTTGCAATTATTGCCAGATGGAGCATAAAAATGAAGTAGAACGCAAAAAATCATGCGTCTTTTTTATCTCCTGATCCATTTTAATACTTACAACGATCTCTTATGAATCTCATTTTTCAACGTACCAAACTTCCTATCTTGTTGTGTTGAGCGTTCTGTTAAGTTTTGAAACTCTACTGGCAAGTACTTAGCTCATAGGTGCATCTAAAGGTTTGGTTCTTAGCTTGTTATGATACTGTTTCATATTTTGTCCTAAAACATTGATTTTTAACCTTGAAAATTTGAATGCAGAATTGGGCTAGTATTGAACCTCCGAAAACGACTGTAAAGAGGATACTTTTGCAAGAGGACCGTCAGATGAGTCCTGGCCGATTATCTTTACCAACTGGCCCACTAAAACTTAATCATCAGTTGTCTGAGGGTTCAATGGTTTCTCATGATATTCCACGTGGTGTCTTAAATATTTCCCAAAGCAAAGGTAAGACGCCTTAAAAGGTGTCCTAAATAGCTTCCAAAGTTGTACATCGATGGTTTCTAATCTTTATATGTTAACATTCTGCAGGCAGCCAGGATGTACAGATAAAGCGGCATTTTGAGGGACAGTCGAATTCTTCACTTTGGGATAGTAGTCGTTCAGATTCATCAAAAACTCCTGCAGCGTCTGTGCTTTCCTTAGGTTCTGGTTCCAAGACAATGCCTATCATAAGTCAAGATGCTGCAAGAAACTTAAACTTTACCTTAAAGTCTGATCCTGTGGTAGTCAACAACCCAAAATTTAGTCAACAATTGCAAAGTTTCCCAGAAGCTTCATCTAATTCCACAGGGTCACTGGCGAAGAATATATTCCAGAAGAAATCTATCGAGTTTTCAGAATCCAGTAATAAAGATACCGTAAAATCAAAATTTGCAGTTGGGAATGGGAACCAGAGGCCTATAGTGGCAGAAAGCTCTTCTATTTGGTCCAGGAAGAGTCAGGAATCTCCATTTTCTGCTGTGTCGAGTGCTGGCTCAGGTACTGCCTTCTCTGGAAGAAGTTTCTCTCTGGAGGCATCTACAAGAGAAAGTCAGGTTGGTGAAGCTGTGTCGTCTTCTATTGCATCATTGCCTGTTCCAGTTACTTCCGCACCTACATCCTTTGTGTTTAAAGATGCTATCCCGTCCACAATTTCTGCTATATCACTCAGTAAATCATCAACCAATTTTGGGATCAAGTTGGGTGCTACTTCGACCCTCCCACTATCTGGATCTTCAGCTTCTTTTCCCTCATTTCCATCTACCCCCTCTTTTGGGGCTACTAGAGAACCGATGATTTCTTCCTCCATTGAACCCTTGGCGAACGTAGAATTAAACACTTCCAAGTTGGAGCTCTCCAAATCGAATCTAGATACGAGTGAGATTTCTACGCCTCATGTAGTTTCAATGCCAAAGTTTGACTTGAAACCAGATGTGAAATCTTCTGCTCAAACTTCACCTCCCCAGCCTGTGCTTTCCTCAGGTGCTCCTGATATGAAACTTGGATTCTCAGTTCCATCAGAACCTACAACTAGAAGAGAACCATCAACCATTTTTTTTTCTGGAAGTCAGCTCAACTTAAGCGCTACAAATAGTCCTGTACTAGCGTCAAATTCTAAAGCAGAACAACCAGCGGTAGCACCTGCTCTATCCTCCTCACCAGCCATTTCAAATCCAGTGGAAGAAGTTGGTAAAGAGAATGACAATTCAGATGTCGCACTTACCCAGGAGGATGAGATGGAGGAAGAGGCTCCTGATACCACTCAAATTATATTGGGAAACCTTGGTGGGTTTGGGCTTGGGTCAGCCCCAAATCCTGGTGCACCCAAGCAGAATCCGTTTGGTGCACCATTTGGTAATGCAGCAGCAAATACACCAATCACTTCTTTTACTTCTCCATCAACTGGTGGTTTGTTTAGACCTGCATCCTTTAACATTGCATCTTCACAACCTTCCCAACCATCTCAGCAGACAAATTTTGGTGGCTTCTCTAGTGGCTTTGGCAGTAACAACAATCAAAGTAATACTGGCCTAGGGTTTGGCAGTAATAACAATCAAAGTAATACTGGACAAGGGTTTGGACAGCCTGCTCGGATAGGATCTGGTCAACAGGCTCTAGGGTCGGTTCTTGGTTCTTTTGGACAGTCGAGACAGTTTGGTGCTGGTCTACCTGGAAGTGTTGCTTCTCCAAGTCCATTTGGCAGTGGTTTTGGTGGCAGTCAAACTGCTGGTGGTTTCGCTACTGCTTCCTCAAGTGGTGGGTTTGCTAATCTGGCTTCAGGAGGTGGAGGCTTTGGTAGTTTAGCCACAAGTGGTGGTGGATTTGCCGCTGCACCCACTGGTGGTGGATTTGCCGCTGCACCCACTGGTGGTGGTGGATTTGCTGCTGCAGCTACAGGTAGCGTTGGATTTGGTGGTGCTCCAGCTGGTGGTGGATTTGCTGGTGCTGCTCCTGGTAATTGATTCTATTTTCGATTCATATCTCATAGATGAAGACCTAATTAAAGGAGTGATCTGGACTTAAGTTTTGGGATCCAGGCTTACATTTAACTCGTCCGCGTAATTAATCGTCTCTAGAAAATAATGCTAAAACCAAAACCAGAACCAGAACAATAATTGTGTTGGTGGTGTTTTTACTTTACTTTGTTAATCAAATAATTTTGACCAAGTTTGTTCTGCAAATCCTGAAGGTGGGTTTGGAGCATTTGGCAGTCAAGGAGGAAGTGGCTTCTCTGCATTTGGTAGTACTGGAGGAACGGGAAGACCTCCATCAGAGCTCTTCACACAGATGAGGAGATAGGTTAAATGCTAAATCATGCTGCTACTATTGGAATGAACACACCTGGTGAGTTCCAAAATTTATCTTGTTTTATATCGTTCCAAGATGCGTGATTTGTTAATTGTGACTCGGGTGTATAATATAGATGGAATTCTTGCTTCTCCTTTTAACTTATTGCCATTGCACTTGTTTATATCGATAAAAATCAGTCTTTATTTGTTCTATTCCATAGTTATTTTTTTAATTTATTCTAATAAATAGTTGTCTTGTTCCACATTGGGAACCCTGGGACTTCTATTTTTGTTATGTGGGTCTATTCTATTTTGGTATTTTTTTGAGTGCAAAACCTGAGAGATACTAGAGGGGATCCTAGTTCTTTCTTTCCTTAAATCACATACAACATATAAAGACTGCATTTACTGCTCTATGGTTGCTTAATTGAATACCTTCAGTTTGTTGATATATGTTGTTGATATGAGCATCTATTTTAGGTTTTTAAGGGATTTGCTAATTTACAGGTCCAGTCTGAAATGTACTTGACTAAAAAAGGTAAGTTGAAGATTGCAATTGTCTGCCTGAGGATGGAGTAGGATGTTGGTATTACAATGACAATGGATTTCTGGATGTCATCTATGTAGAATATGTGGTAAACCAGTGGCTGGGAAACATCCTCTTTGTTTTTTTTTTTTTTTTTTTTGTATGATCAAATGTTTAATTTGGTTTTTGTGGTCTTAAATCCAAAAGCATCAGCAGCAGCAGCAGCAGCAGCAGCAGCAGCATATGATGTATGTTTCTATACGTGGATAAATGTGATTTGAGTCATCAAATGAAAGAAGTAGATTTCTTACGCAATTGATTGATTCTAGATGATGATTGCTTGAAGTTTGGCAAGTTCTTCCCATACCAACACATTTTGGTGGTTAAAAATGGATGCAACATTTCTTTTTCTGGTTTTAATTGTTCATCTTTATAGCTATTTCAATTAATGCATTTTATTTTAAACCAAATAAGTGGGTTACTAGATAAGTGTTTATTAGCAAATCATCCCAAGCTACTTTACCGGCCAACATTTTCAGTCTTCGAAATGGATTGGTGACAAGTGTTTATCACTCAAGTAGGTCCGGATAAGTCACCACCCACGTTTTCCGGATAAGACTTTCGATCCTTGCTATACTCGCCTAATAATGTAATTGACTTGGTAAATTCTTGGTTCATAAGTATTTGATAAACGGCTTCTAAGCCTCGTGTGTTTAATTGTTGTATATAAATATCTAAAAGTTTTAGACATCGATCCAAATATAGCAAATTAAAATTCAAAAAGTTCAAGATAAGTCCAACATGTTTCTCAAATAATAATTATAATATTTTGCTTTTATTTTTCCAAAAGAAGAAGTATATTAATAGATTTGAAATGTAGGCAGATTGATGGAATATAATGGTTGCCGACTTCTTCCGTGGCAGGTGGCGAGAGAGATGACCGCAAGGGTATGGGACAATTTTAGCCATCTCTTTCAAATAAATAAATATATATTTATTTAATTATTACCTAAAATATATTTTAACAACATAACTTTGATAAAATGAATACAAAATCTAATAAAATGTTTAGTGTAAGCTTAACAAACATTAATACTTTGCAAATCTTTTTGTAAAGAAACCGGTTGATGTGATTCTTGAATTTCAAGTTCACCTACGGATATGTATTCGTAAATTTTCTACTCTCGGTAGAACTCGATAAAAGTTTAACTCGTATGGGGCTATTTAGTTAAGGGGGTTTGTGTCATTTCTTTATACAAGAGGGGTGCTAAATGTAATTTTTCTTGGCCCAAAGCCAAAGGCAAAAAGAAATGCATGAAGCGGGTTCTTGCGAGTGGGAAAAGCTTTCCCTTTTCCAATTTCCCCTTCAAAAATCTTCTCTTCATTTTCCATAATCATCACACAAATCACGCATACTCACCCACACAAACACACTGACTCGGAGAAGAGAAAACCCACTTCCAAGAATCAAATCTTTTCTCCATCGAAACATTGATTTAAGGTTCCGTTTTCTTTCAATGTAGCCCAATTGATCGGAACCCATGTTTTTCCCTATTTGATTCGTTGATTGAGTTCAACATCTGTGGGTTTTTTTTAAAGGGAGGGAAAGGTAGGGTTTGTTTTATGATGCTTTGTCCTGAATTGAACACTCAGATACAAACATGGCTTCGTGATTACGACAAGATTCAATCTTTCGCCGTGAAACTCATTTACATTCAAGTATTTTTTTTTTCTCTCTCCATTTATATTTGCGTCTGAATAAATAAATACATGTTACTAGGATACATTCTGATCTTACAGTAGTTTTGATCCGTTTACCAATTATTCCGAACTTGAATTCATGGCCTACAGCTTTGATCTGAGTTATTTGATACAACTGAAATGAGATTAATAACTGTTTGTTTATTTGACGATGTGTATTTTTCGTATTAATCGATGGAAGTTGTCTTGATGTTTGAAGCTTGCTTGTGCTTTGATTGGATCATTGGGGGTATTGTATAATGGAGTTTCCCTTATAAATCTTGGGATTGGATTATTCGCATTGGTTGCAATCGAGAGTAGCAGCCAGAGTCTCGGCCGAACTTATGCTGTTCTTTTGTTTTCTGCAATTTTGCTAGATATTTTGTGGTTCATCCTCTTCGGTCAAGAAATCTGGTTAGTTTTCAAATTTATTATTCCTCTATATTTGATTGCTAGATTCTGTTCAAAAATTGTTCAGCCCCTTTTGCTATTGGTGAGGTAGGTTAGGTTTTACTATTTAAGGTTAATGGGTGGACAAAAAGACTTGTGAAATGCTTTATATTTGCAACTAATATCGTTGGAATAAGTGTGATGCATTACTTTATGATTTAGAAACAGTTGTTCTACTGACTAGTTTGATTCGGTGGACGTTTCAACAACCATGCTTTGCTAAACTAGTTCAGGTAAGATAGGGAAAACTAATAGCAAATATGTATAGGTGAATCCTGAAGGGTTTTGGGACAATCTAGGGTCATTTGACTAACATTTATTTGAGACCGACTCCTTTGGTGTATCGTTTAAACCATTTTGAGTCGTGTTGACTCAATTTCTTCTCAAATGATGCCATCACGACGTTCTCCTTCATATCATTCTTTTTAAATCATATCCCTTTATGTGTTGCTTTTCACGTATTTGCTATGCTCCTCTTTCGTGTACATGTTGTCTTTTAGTCAGCCCGATAAATCCTAATAGGTCTCACAATCCAGTAGAAGTTAGCTGTTAGCTTACTAGGATGACTTCTCTTAAGCACACAAACCAGAAGTTTGTCTCTGTTTTACCTTCAACCAACTCTTATCCTTTGATTAACATCCTTATGGATCTCCATTTTTCTCTACATCCAATTCGGTTCTGAACATGCTCACTGTATCTTCAACCTCCTTGTCAACATCTTTAAAGTTACAAACCTTTTCTTCCTATTCCGTCATAACCAGAACCTTTAGATTCCAAAAGACTTTTATAACAATTAAATGGAAAAATATTGTGTGTCCATGGTTTCTTTGACCATTAACTTTGTTAGTTAAAACACTAGTTCTTATTTCAGCCTTGGTTCATTTGGTCAGTTTAGATGCTATACAATTTTTTGCAGAAAACCAAGTTCAAATGATTTTCATGGTGTATGTTGTTCTGTCTTTTCACATGCTGCTACCTAGCAACCACCTGAAAAATATATTACAGATATTTAAAAAGCGTTTATAGTTGAAAACATGCCATCAATATAAGTTCTCTAATAAGGGTTTACAATTTGAAGTCTTATCCTTACCGAAGATCCAATAATGCTTCCTTGAGCTCAATTTTTTATTAGCTATATCTGATATGTGAATGTTATTGGGGGTTTTCACTCTTCACGTGAACAATCACTCTACTCTTTAGGGTAGAGATCAGGTTTGTACCCCCCCCCCCCCCTCCGGGTGGGACATACTACTAGGCTTGTTTGGTTTGGTTTTTAGGTATGTGAATGTAACTTGAAATGAAGTTAAGCTCGTTGGTTGCAAACATGCTTTCAACAAATAGCATTTCGATAGTGGGGGGTCTACCTTTGTAGGTAACTATGATATTTTTTTTTTTTAAATCCTACATGGAGATAATGGAACCTGACAGCTACTCATTTTATAAAATCTGAACAGTGTTTACATAGATATACCATGTAATATTAGCACACTATGAAACGTAATTGTCAATAGAAATGTGGAAGTGCAATATTGAGCTTCATGCTGCGTTTATTCCAGAATTAGTTGTTAAGTTATATCCCACATACCCTTACATTGTTCATATACATGTAGCCAATTTGTTTTATCTATATATTCCTAAAAATGTAAAGAAATGAGTAACATTGTAGTCGTACGCTGAGGCAAATTCAGAGCAATTACCTTCTTCAACCACCGTGCTCAGTTTTTGTTGCAAATAACCACCTTTTCTTTTGTGAAAATGTAAAACAGGAACCCCACACTTTGCAAGAATAAGTAAATTTGGATAATTTTAGAAATGTAAATGCAAAAAACCATCATACTTGACATTTTTTTTCCTAAATCGATCATTCTTGCAATGTGAAGAGTTCTTTTTGCACTTCATAGGAGTGATGGGTTTGTTTGTCATGCAAAGTCAAATACGATGGTTTGAGGAATTGATCACTCGATATTATGTATATTTGAATTCTAAGATAACCTCTTGATGTATTATTATTCACATAAAAATAGACTCCTACAATCATGCATCTTTGTACCACACATTCATCTCCCTTTTGTTAATGTTTGGCTTGAGTTGGAGCTTGGACATTGAGTCCATTGGAGCAATTACAAACAATATTTAAGACGTTAGAGTGAAAGTTTTCTTGCATCTTCTATTTTCTGTCTGCACTTTTCTTATAAATGGGTGCCAACCTTCATTGTACATATCACATAATTCACAAGATACAATAAGAAGCCTAGCAACAATTATGAATGTAGACAGATTATTGAACCACACATATTGTCTCCTTTTCTGTTCATCATCGTGTATGTGTGATTTTCAACCCCAACACTTTAGATGTGCATAAGGGGAAGGAACTCTAGAAAATAATTTGTGAGCTAATTTATTGGTCTTTAAATGCTTGACATGTATGCAGGGACATTTCTTCAGAGATTTATGGAGAATTAGCCATATTTTCAGTGAGACTCACTCTGTTAATGCAAATTATTGGGTTCATGGTAAGATCATCATCCTCATTATTATGGATTCAGATGTATAGATTGGGGCCATCACTTGTGGATAGTACAGTTCCTCGAGATGGAGACTTGGATTTGAGGAACAGTTTTATGAGTCCTGCCACCCCACCTGTAGTTAGACGTACTTCTGGTTCTGCCGATTTATTAGGAGGCTCCATCTATGATCCAGCATACTACTCGTCTCTTTTTTCAGATAACCAAGATGAAGGATCTTTACACTCGGTAGGTTTCATTTTTCTAATTTCCTGATTAAGTTTTCCATGGTTGCATGTGAATATGTTGTCTGTCTGTAGGGTCACAACCATCGTATTGGCATGGATGGCTCTTTGTCTGATCCTCTGTTGAAGCCATCTTTAAGCAAATCTTTTCGGGCTACACATGTAAGTCCCGACTTTTCTTTTGGCACTTCTATCATCATATGAATATATGTTGCTACAGTTGCTTTCCGTTGAAACACAGATAAGAAGCAATTTACTTATTCCGATCACCCTTGGTTTTCTCTTTTTATTTAATATGGTCATATATTAAACCATTGTCCTACGTATGAACTTGAATTTGTTCTTTATAATATATGATCGATAATAATCTGACGAGGAAGATATACCTAAAAATTAGCCAAAAATAATAAAAAGACGCCAAACAACGATGTGATAATAAACCAATGAACATATTTGAATAAATGAAACTTATAATGAAATGAGAGAGCAAAAAATACATAATTTTAAAATACTCTTATGACTCGTGGCAATCCTTTTCCTGAAGATCAATGTACAAATCTAATCTAAGATACAACTTCCATTACATAAGTGCAGCTCACTAACATGATTTTGAACATAAAAACACCTAACTATATAAGAAAATAATAAAATCTAAATGATCTAAAAACTGACCATCAAAGTTCATCTCTTCCTCGTTTTATACACTGTCTTCAACAATGTTTGCTTATTTCCTAGATCACTTGCAGCCATCTTATGAAACAGCGAAGATCTTTCTTTTGCGGAAATGCTCCTTGTATTCCAAACTGCTTCAGCCTTCTCTTGAATAATGGATTATACATATTCAATGAACTAATATATGAAACCCCACAAACTAATAAAACCGACAAGTCGTAAGTAATCAATAATCATACTGTTTCCGTTTTAGTTGGTAAGAACCCTCTCATTCGCCTGTGTTTTGTCCGTTATCCCATGAACAAACATCTTTCTATACTTGTCATACTTTGGTTTGAAAAACGATGCTGCAACACATTATATAAATGGGATAGCATCTCATTGGTTATGAGGTAGTTTTTATATGTAAGCATACCTGATACCCTCCAATATTCTGCTGAACTCCATTTTATCTTAATTCTTGACCATGGTCAAGCATGAAGCTGCTGTAGTTTCCTGGTGAATGGTACTAATTACTAAGGGTGCGTTTGGTGAATGGAAACTTCTTTTTCCACGTTTCGTGTGACATTAGACTAGGATAAGTCAAAACTGAATGGACAAAAAGAAACAAAATAAGTGGAATAAAAATTAAGGAGATGGAGCATAATGGTAAATTACTAAAGATTAGTACGAAACAAAATGATGAGAACCTAACAAACAAGCAAATGATTTGAGTTTTAGAGAAAATTAATCCGATTTGATAGAAGATTTAGAGCAAAGTTGTGTGCTTGTTCGTTGAGAGAAGATGTGATAGATGTACATTTTTGTTAGTTTTTAAATCATACTTTGTAAATCAAACAAAACGAGCCCAGTATCTCTCAAAGAGTAGAGGGGTTGTTTAGGTGATAAGTTGAACTTTGTCTTCGGGTGATGACACAATGCACAATTCTTGAAACTGCTTGGCTTTTCTGACCTACACGACTCGCCCGTGCCTTCACCCGCCTACTTTTTTTTTGTTAACTAGTCTCATAGGGCCTTGAAGATAACAATCAAGAAAAATCCCTACCGACTTTGAGGAGACTTCAGAAATCCAAAACGGCACAATGACTTGACTTTGATACAAGCTGTTAAAAGATTTCCAACGATACTGATTCCAAATCTTTCTTATGCAGGAAAGGACCGTAGTAAGCAGGCTCGGGAGCCTTTAACCCAAGCCAAAAACGGGCAGTATGTCCCACTCAGAACTAGGGTCTCGGAGGCTGGGGAGCCTTTGAGGTAGAGTATTTCCATCGTATTCGATAGCTATGGGCATAACTAGCATTCTCCAGATATTTTTTATTACCAAATGGAGGTTCATTCTTATACTTGAATTAAATGTACAGTTGCATCTTACTTACATGTATTAATTTAGTGGAAAAGGGCAAAAAATGCCGAACCGCTATACATTTGCAACTTTCTTGCTACAAGGGTTGTACCTCATGCATGTTTCGATTATACATTCGAGCCATATCAACCGTAGTGCTACAGCGGTTGTACTTCGTTCATGTTTGGATTGTACCTCTAAATATTTTGTATGGGTCTCCTTAAACATGACAACCATCTTGCTACAAGAGTTGTTGCATGTTCCATTTGTACCATGGTTTGATCGAAATCGAGTAAATCCCTCCGAAACATAAAGTGTTTACATTTCTATTTTAGTTTGTCCCAAAATAAGTGTTGGTGGTCAAAAGTTACTGATAATAATGAGATGGAGAAATTCATTAAACCTTGTATTATTAAGGGTAAAATTGTCATTTAGTTTATTAAAAGGTATAATAATTATCTGGTTACCTTTATCAAATGAATCATACATATTATATGGTGTTGTGAAAAAAGATGAAATGGAAAAACTGCAGTATTCTTGTACTCATTCTCGTCTCATTCTAACTTAAAAGTCATGTTAAACGTGAATAATAAGGTTTTATCATGTATTGCCCATGTGAAGTTTCGTTAGAAACTCAAAATTGATTAGGAACTCGGAAACCGATTTCCGCATGCCGGGTATTTATGTTCAGGATGAATACATTAATATGTCATTCATCATGTATCACATTCATGATGAATATTCTGTAACATTATTATAAATAGATAAAATTATGTTTTTAGTCCTTATGTAAAAATTTATAATTTTCATCCTTATGATTTTTAAATTACAATTTTCATCCCTGTAGTTTATAGCTAATTATCTTTTTCGACCTTATGATTTTAAATTTATTGTTTTTTTCATTACTATGGTTTACAATTCATTTCTATTTTAGTCTTTCATACTTAAAAGTGATGATTTGGCCTCAGAGACAAAAATAGAAATGAATTGCAAACCATACAGACTAAAATAAAAAATTTCAAACCACAAGGATGAAATCCATAATCTTTTAACAAACCACAGGGATGAAAAACACAATTTACTCTTATAAACAACATATTCATATTTCTAATGAATTATTAGATGTTGTGGTATAGACCGTTCTTAGGTTTTTAATTAATTTTAGGTTCCTAATGAAACCTGTCTCATACAGGCCATCCTATTTTACTAGCATATTACACAAAAATGGAGATCTTTTCAACTCCAATCAATCAATGTAACATTAAAAAAATGGAGGTCATCAAAATTGGCATTTTATCCGGAGGTCAAAATATTGGTGTATAAAGTACTGCTTATTGATACATATTACTTAAATTCAAGATTGCAAGTAAATTATGCATAAATATAACTTATTAAAGCTTCATATTTTGAATTCGTGTAACTAACTGCGGATAAACATAATCAAATAGAGGATAAATATCTCATTTTAAAATATATAAAAAATTTAAAATATAATGAAGATAATTATTGATAACAAAATACTTAATTATTATATTTATAAAAAATATATTATTAAACCTAAATTAAGTTACTTCGTTATGTTAAATTAAATTATAATAAAAATTTTGAATTAAAAAAGAAAAACACAAATAAGAACTTTTAAATAGTTAATTTGATACTAATATCAATATATTTTTTGCAAATTTTATATGATATTTTTAAATTTATATTTTATTCAAAAATAAAAACATTATCGCTTTCTCAAAAACACATAAAATCGTATTATATCGACATAGATAAAAAAAAAAAATGAAACATTAAAATAAAAATATGTCTTGATACATTACACGAGTATCCTTCTAATATATATATAACACTTGTATAATAATGAAATATTTAACAAAATAAAACTCCGTTATCAAAAATTTAAAAATAAATAATATTAACTATCATTTTAAATTTTAAAATACTTCATTAAATAAATTATTTTAAGGATCCAGTAAAAATATTTATTAATTACAGAACATAATTAATTATTGAGTCTTAGTAAAATATTATAATAATAAATATGATATATTTATTTATTATTAAAATATTTTATTATTATTATCTTCAAATGTAGGGTTTGGAATTGACGTCTTTTTAATGCTGAATGGCCCCAACATATTTAGTGGTTACAATATTGATGGTCTAATCAAATACACCTTAGAAATTAACGGTGGATTTGGTATCATATCAAGTTTTTTTTTCTTTTCTAATATCATGTATCAACCAATTATAATTGATACGTAAAATTATATATCATGTACCAATCAAGTATACTTGGTTCCAACTTAATTGATACTATTTTTTTCGGTTGGTACTAGTTTTGCACCAACTTTAATTTATATATATATATATGAAAAATTTATCATTTTGTTCAATTTGAAGTAACGTTTTGAGTTTTAAGTGACATATATGACGTTTAAGAGTTTCTAATCGTAAAGAATAAAACTCAGCAAGATTTAAATGTTCAAACAAAGTAGATAATGTTACAATGTTTGATTTTTTAACACATAAAAAAAATACAAAAACTAATAAATAATTAAATAAGTACGTATTATGGTACTACAGTGATACACAACTTTCAGTAGTTGTACCAATTATATGATATTACGATCTGATTGTACACGATACCAATTAATACACATATTGACTAGGTTCATTTGATACAAAATTGGCACGCATATTAAAAACATTTTTCATAACTTCCAACACACTTTTGGGTCCCTCGTTTATGATTGTTTTTCGCTTTTCGTCTCTCGAATCTGTAAAGTACACTCTTGGTCCAAAAATTGTCCAAAAAAGTAAATGGAAATACTAATACCGGTTTGGCACCAGTTTTAAGAAGTTTTTGATAAGTTACTATATTCTAACTTATTAATTTATTCCGGTGTGGTACCCGTAATAAGAAGTTTTTCGTGTTTGGATGAAAAAAATGGTATCTTATCAATTTTTATCCGGTATGGTACCGCCATAAGCTAATTCAAACACTTTTTATAAAACTTTGATTTACCACCACATAAGTTGATAAGAACTTTTACAAAAAAAAATATGTTTTAAATAAGCAATCCCAAACACCGATCTTCTCCTCTTTCCCAATGATCGACATAATATCATTTCTTCAACGAACCTTGTGAACCTCTCCTCGTCTGACGAACTTTCCTTCTCCCAACACTGTTTCTCCGGCAAAACCCGTTCCAGATCTGTTGAAAGGTTTTTGTCCTCTCTATCGATCGACAGTGATGAACTCCACCACAAGAATCATCTCTATGTTTTTTGAAGACGATGGTGGCGTGAAACTCGGTCAATACCCTTCTTTCATATGTGTTTGAAGACGATGATGTCCTTCCCAACTTCTCTTACTCAAACGTTGATAGAACTTGAAGCCCAAATCTAGGTTTGTCAACATAAACGAAATCACAAAACCGAAGTCCAGATTTACTTAGGATTTTGAAGTCGAAATCCAAATATGTTTAGGGTTTGAAGTTGAAATATGGATCCAAATGTTCGTGTAAATTAGTTTGGGTTTTGATTTTAGGGTTTTGATTTTAGAGATCTAGTTTAGGATTTTACTGTTTTGATTTATCACAAATATCATTATTCGAGCTAACTAATCCTAGGACGACCATGTGCGTTGCAGACATTAATGGATTTTTTGTTCATATTGTTGAGAAATCCATTGTTCTTGCTTATAAAATATTATTTGTGTTTGTGACTAGATTTGTGTTACATTTAGACTTATAATATTGTATTTGGATTTGTGTTTGATTATGGTTGAGGATGATTGGTCTTAACGGTGGTGGGTGGTGTATAATCAAAAGACAGTGGCAGTGGTGGATATGAATGTTCTTAAGTGGTTGAGGTATAGACTATGGAGTGAGTATGAATGCGTCGTGCTGCTAGGCAAAATAGCAGAATATTGCACCCTTTGTTGTGAATTAGAAACTACTTTTGATCCGGATTCTAGTTATCTGAATAATGAATTTAAGAGTAAGAATCCCTAGTTTTCAATTGTCGATAAAGAAGATGGAAGGAAGAATGATGGTAAAAAGACAAAAATGCCTCTCACAGCAGGGACATGACTGATTTAACGGATCCAATTCTAACAGCGTCTGTGGAAGGAGCCAGTTTGGATTCTAAAACACAATATTTAGACTAAGAGTGTATTTTACAAATTCGAGGGACGGAAACCGTAAAATTACCAGACATGTGGGATCAAATAATATAATTCACTCTAAGTTGAGTAAGAGTTGTTTGTTTACCTCTTAATAGTTCTATTAAGAAGCAACCTTTGAATTGTTAAGAGGTGAATCTTGTTTGACAAAAAAAAATCTACCTCTTAATAATTCTAAAACTCTCTGAATGATTTTGTATCATCAATTTCCTTTAATTATTAAAAACTCTAATTTCATTATAAATAATTACCAAATAATTATATTTTATTTTATACTATATAATAAAAAGCCTCTTAAATCATTTTAACCGCTTAGTAATTCTATGTATAAACCATTCAACAACGATAGGTTTCTCTGTATTTAATTTTGGGAGGAAATTGAAAGAAGACGCGGTTTTCGTTGTCAGTTGCCCACTTTCTCAGAAACTCCTTCCTATGGATGATTTGACGATGATGATGATTGATGCTGATCCTGATCTCTCCTCTATCCATCCATAAGTCTTCCATTAGAACCCACATCATTTCTATACACAGGAACTTAGAAAACATGTATGTACACACTTATCTCTATCTGTATCTATATATGCCCATGTAAATGGAAAATGAAAATCATCGTTCACCATGAAATTCACCTTTTAGATCTGTGTTTGTTTGTGTTTTCTTTTTTCAAATTACTTCTCAAATCAAGGGTGGTTTTCAATGGTTTAAGATGAAGATTTCTAGGGTTTTAAATTAACAAACCCTAATTGTTGATCTTGATTTATAAAATTGTTCATGATTCATTTAACAGAGCTTGATTTGAAGTGAGATATGGAGGAAGATAGAGAATCTACAAGATACTGGTGCTATGAATGTAACCGGCCAGTTATCCCCATTTTGGAGGTCGAAGCGATCAAGTGTTCGTCTTGTAATGGTGAATTTGTGGAGGAAATGGAAAGCGTAAGAAGCGATCACCACCACAACCACCGTCATCGCCTCCATGAAAGTGATACCGATCCTGATCCTGATCCTGACCGTGCACTCTCGTTGTGGGCTCCGATCTTGCTTGGCATGATGAGCAACCCTCACCGTCGCCGGAGATTTACTCGGGTTGAGTTTGAGGAGGAGGAGGAGGAAGAAAACCGCGATGATTCCACCGAACGCTTCCGCCGCCACCACTTTCAGCATCACCGGGGCGGAGGAGAATCTGAGTTGGACCGTGAACTTGAGTCGATCAGGAGGCGGCGGAGGAGGAGCTCCGCCCCCATTCTCCAGCTCCTTCAAGGTGTTCGAGCCGGGATGGTATCCGAATCTGAAACCAGTACGGAGAATGGAGCGAACAGTAACCGCAACCGGGATCGTGTTATTCTAATCAATCCTTATAATCAGACCATCATAGTTCAAGGAGGCGGTGGCGATGGCGGAAATCCGTCACAGACCCACCCGATTGGTTCCTTAGGCGATTATTTCACGGGTCCTGGATTAGAACTACTGCTGCAGCATTTAGCCGAGAATGACCCTAATAGATACGGCACCCCACCCGCACAAAAAGAGGCCATCGAGGCAATGCCGACTGTTACAATCGATGAACCTTCTGTTCAATGTTCCGTTTGTTTGGATGATTTCGAGGTTGGGATCGAAGCTAAAGAAATGCCTTGTAAACACCGGTTTCATAGCAAATGTATCTTCCCATGGCTAGAGCTTCATAGCTCGTGTCCTGTTTGCAGGTACGAGCTGCCTTCTGATCAATCGAAGCTCAACCAAGAACGAGAAAGGTCCGCGGTTAGTTTAACCGGTGGTATTGGTGAACCAGAGAATGCCAGGAATAGCGAAGATGCCGATGGGAGAAACACGAGGAGGTTTTCCGTTTCTCTCCCTTGGCCTTTTAGTAGCTTATTATCGTCAACCACGGGTCCCCAAATCGGGAGCTCGACAACATCGACATCGATGTCGGGTTCGGGTTCGGGTTCGGGTTCTTCGCCACGATCTCATGAGACCCGTCCGGAAGACTATAATCACTAAACTGAACGAGTAAGCCCCCCTTATGTTTGTTTTCGTGGCTTTTGCTTTGTTACAGAGTGTGTACATATATCGGTTACTAATAAGTGTAATATCGACAGAAACATATATATAGCCTTTCATGTCTGCTTGTATGTATCGTATAAATGATCTTGTGCGTTTCTTGATCTAACGACTTTATAAATCGTTGTTGCGTACGGAGTTGACTCGCCAACGACTCACCTAAATGGACACACGTTGTTCGAGTACAAAAGAAAGTTTCTTGTTCGTAGACGATTGAATATTTTGGCAGATTTCACTAATACCTCTGTGTTTTCGCATTGTATCTTTGGACAACGTCACGTAAAATTGAACATGCTAGAATACCGATTACGGTAAGGTACTTATTGAATCAAAGGACCTTTGTCCTAGCGGTATCATAGCCTTTGGCCTCCTAGGAGGTCAAGGGTTCAAACCTCACCAAAGGTGAGGAGGGTTTATTTGTTACATTTGTCGTATATAAATACTTAAAAAAACGATGTCTTTGGATGTCGGGCAGTAAAAAGAATCGAGCACAATAATCGAACAGTCGGGTGTAACGTAATGTTGAATACATTAACTTATGGGGAATTCAGTTTATCGATGGTACGACCATTGATAATAGTTTACTGAAATGATACATGCCGACAGACAAACGGGCAAAAAGTACAGGGAACGAATTGTAACGAAGCTCGAGAAAGAACATGAACACAAGAACCAGGTTGATACGAGTTACTTGACGTTCACGATCTTGATGATGGATGCGGCTCCGACGCGGTGTAGAGCCACAACGGCATCACCCACCTTGCAGAGTCCTTTACCTTTGGCATGCTGCAATGCAAAATCCAGCGCTTCTTCGGTCGATTCTGCGTGCGAAGCTCTAGCGGATCCCCCAGATAAAACCGGAACCAAACCCCGAAAGATAAGACTATGCCGAGCTGGAGTTTCATCGCTGCAAGACCAGTCGAAAGAATCGGTCTTGATTTCAGGAACCACCACCGATAGTATTGGCATGCCAGGCCTGTATTTAGCCACCAGTTTTGCGGTGCTCCCTCCTCTGGTTAGAACCAAAATAAGGGTTGCTCTGGATGAGTTTGCGGTTCGGACCGCAGCAGAGGCCAGGCTTTCGAGTGGGCTCATGGGTACAGGTGCGTTTGCAGCGATCCTCTTGAAAACATCCGCGTAATCAATTGTGTTCTCTGCTTCAATGCAAATTTTGGCCATGGTTCGAACCGCTACTTCTGGGTAAGCTCCAGCAGCCGTTTCGCCACTAAGCATGACACAGTCTGTGCCATCTAGAACAGCATTGGCAACGTCTGTGGCTTCAGCTCGAGTTGGCCTTGGAGATTTGATCATCGACTCCAACATCTGAGTCGCGGTGACCACGGGTTTTCCTTGTAGGTTGCACTTGTAGATCATCACCTTTTGTGCCAAGAAAATCTTTTCGATAGGAATCTCCATTCCTAAGTCACCTCGCGCCACCATAAACGCGTCGGAGTTGGCTAGGATGTCATCAAAGTTTGCAACCCCTTCTTGATTCTCAACCTAGAAAAGATGGTCACATATCATGCCTTTTAATGTTTGCTTCAATTGAATGAATAAATGAAAAGCTGATGTAAGTCATTAAAATATGAGCGTACCTTTGACATAAGAAGGATGTTCTTTGCGTGGTCGCCCAACAACTTTCGAACCTCAATCAGATCCGAACCTTTGCGAACGAAAGACAGGGCAATCATGTCGATCTTATTAGGAACACCCCATTTCAGTATATCTTCTTTGTCTTTCTCCGTCAAAGTTGGTAGGTCGACGATCACTCCCGGGAGATTGACATTCTTTCGCTCACCAAGAACTGCGGTGTTCTCACAACGACAACGAACCAAGCCCTTTTCAGTGTCACAAGAAAGAACAGTGAATGAAATGGTGCCATCTGCACACAGGATCACGCTCCCTGGTTTTACATCGTGCGCCAACTTTTTGTAGCTCATGCAAATCATCTTGTCGTCGCCTTTAATGTCGTAATCTGTAGAGATGGTGATTTCTACGCCCTGCTTCAGTTGGATGGGTTTGCCATCTTTCAGAAAACCAGTTCTAATCTCTGGACCCTGCAAACACCACAAAAGATATGAACAGATCTGTTCCAACTAAAAGAGGTTCAAAAGTTATTCACTTGGTCAATTGTCCAACAAATGATTTTTGTGTGAATCAGAGAAAATTCGTGCAATTTTCCAATAAATTTTATAGAAAACCATATCAAATCTTAATGTTGTTTGTGTATTCAAATGTAGATCCATGTCATAACTATTGTACTTCATTAACGTAATTTAGATGTTCTAGATAAACACCGATCAAACCATGATTGATTTAAAGACAAATCTGGTTTTTTTTTTCCCAAACGAATGAAGGTTTCAACATATTGCTTACAAGCATATGAATGCAGGTAGGAACAGTTCATAGATAGCCGAACATGGATGTGATCTGCGTTCTATTTTGATGGATCAATAAATGAAAACAGTCGCTACCTGTCACCTAAAGCATATATTAGACCGTCGATTATTTAGGGGGCCGTTCACCAGATGTTATCAGGTGTCACTTGCCTTAACGGATGAATATGACAAGGACAAAAAATCTTTCCCTGTAAGAGGCATAGTAAAAACCATAATCTTGCCGGGAAAGTGAAGGAGAAAGCTCTTAGGCGGTAAACGCTTACCAGAAAACAGACGCTTAATGGTTGGTTTCTGTTCTTTGGTAATTGATTCATGGTTGCAAGATATTGACACCAATTGCATAGGTTTTCGGTTATGGTTAAGGAACTCAAATCTCATAAAAGCAGAAGGATTTGATGATCTAAGAGATTGATGATAAAACCAACGATAGCTTGATGAAATGGCCTAATGGCACCACTTGTATAGCCATGACCAATAACAAGTCGGTTCTACTTCTTAGATGAGATCCTAACGAACTACAATTGATTTCCCGTAAAATCGGGGACTAGTTTGAACTTCGTATGAACCCTAAATTTGTGTTAAACACATGACAGAAGTAATCGGTTTGACCACCAAAGTCAAAATTAAGAAACTGAAGCAATGGCATAGTTGATCATACACGAAATTTATGGTAATAGTTGACCAATTAGATCTATTATCATACGCATGAACACATAGAGATGTAGTAGATTATTACAGATAGGTAATCGATTGAGTAGTAGAGAAGCGAGAAGACATACTTTGGTGTCGAGCATGACTGCACAAAGGATACCGGTGTTATCCATGGCTGTCCGGAGATTATCAAGGGTTTCCTGATGGTACTCAAAAGATCCATGTGAGAAATTGAAGCGAGCTACGTTCATGCCTGCCTTCAACAGCTTCTCGACCATGGGAACGGATCTGGAAGCCGGTCCGAGAGTGCAGACGATCTTAGTTCTCGGCCTCTTCACACCCACTTGTTGCAGACTCTGATCAGTATTCATCTGATCCATTTTCTCTTCGATCCAAAGGAAATCAATGCGATGGATTGCTTCTGGAACGGAAATCGGAGACGAGAACTCCCAGATTTGATTGGGAGGTAAGAAATCTGTGTGTGGAGTGATGAGATGAAAGCGATGTGATAGTAAATGAAAGCCATGAAGATGGAGGATTTAGAATTAGTTTATTCATGGCACATGCTTGATGATTCATCCCACATACAACACCATTCTTTAACGTTTTGTGATTCAGTAATAAAGTAGGTTTTAGAACCCTAATTCATAAATTTGCAATCATTAGGTTACTAGTTACCACCATGATCATGCATAACTATTTGATTAGCTTTCTTGATATAAAAATTCAATCCAAAAATGCAACCGGTCTCACATATATGTAAGTTCAATCGTATGATAATCTGATCATAATTTTTAAAGTCACAATGATGAATATTTTGAACCAATTTTTTTTACTGTTTGTTGTAATACTGTACATTTCAGTAGCATCCAGATGAAATTCGGTCTCACTTATACACAAGTTTAATCAAATGATTATCTTATCCTGATTCTTAAAATCACGATAATTATTTTGAAAACGTACATCCAAACACCTTTTTGATTCCCTCTTCATTTGATACCGTGTCACGCCTACGACCTTCGCCTTACGACTCATAACCATCCAACTCGTTTCTCGGCCAAGGGTACATGGTGGTTAGAGAACACAGTAGCGCTCAATCGGGTATTATGGTTTTGTTAACAAATTAACACTTGTTTTTATAACAAGATCGTTCGAGATAAAAAAAATTGAAACAAACAAATCAAATTCATTAATATAATAGATATTTAATTTTGCATTTGTAATTTATACTAGGCAACTCTAATAAAATTGGATGAAAACAATATAATTAACATGATTAAAATCTTTCTTTTTTGAATATGTAATTGAAAAAATATAAAAATACTTAAAATATAAATATTATGGGGAAAAAGGTGTTAAAAAGTTTCATCTATGTTTGGTTTTCTCACTGAATTTACATGTTTACACCTGAACGGTCATTATAAGATTGTCGTGGATTGGTCATGATCCATCAAGTTTGGTTTTGCAAATGGCTACATATCAAATCAAACATTCTGATAACTTCGACTTACCTTGTTTTAAAAGTTCTTTAGAATAGCTGCAAATTTACAAACTCAAACCGAGTGTTCGAGGTCTGATCTAGCCAGTCAAACCGTCTTGATTGAATGTAGTGCCGAAATTCTCAAATTATATGGTTTGACATCATGTAACTTACTTAATCTAACCATTACGGGTGTACAAAAGTTGGGTTAGGCGGCTTACAACATTTTACAACCCAACCTAATTATGGCGATTTGGAAAATTTTCAACCCAACCTAATTATGGCGATTTGAAAAATTTTCAACCCAACCCTTGCGGGTTGAGGCGGGTGGGGTTGGGTTAGCGGGTTAGTAGTTACATAAAATTTGACAAATGAAATAATTCATAAAACTTAAGTTTATAAGCCATACTATAAAACGTTCTATCTAAAAATGTAATAATAGGTTTATAAGACGTTTTTAAACGTTTCAACAAGTGTTTTAGAATGATATTTAAATAAAATGTCGTATCAGTTATTAATATTATTTTTTTATAACTTGTGTTAGTAGGTTCAATAAAACATATTTTGGTTCCAAAATCTAATAGCTATTCATTAACCAACAAGAAGCAACATCCAGATGTCATACAAATGCAAGCAGATCAAGAATAAGATGGGAATTCTGTGAAGGAATTAAGCAGATCTCAGAAACAACCCCCAGTAATTATACAAAATATCCATCATAATTCCACTCATTTCTAACACTTGATCACATACCCATCCATCAACTGGTTGTAACCTGTACTTCAATTCCAACTCAGCCTCAGATATTCAAAATAACATCACAAACCTGTGCATTCCCATCAACAACAATCTCTTACTTACACTTACACTCACACACACACACACACGCTCATAACATCAATCTTCCTAATTCTTACCAACCATACATCTTCTTTCTGTAAATACTGTACAATCACAATTCTTCTCTACTTCGGCACATTAATTAACCACTCATGGGAATCCTTACTTCTTTTTATATATATAATTTTTTTACATTTTCTATTTAGTTGTCTTCATTTTCTCCCATATAACCAACATATATCTTATAGTGGTTGATTTCTATCCTAAACCATCCTAAAGAAAGCAAGTAAGGGTACCCATTCAGCCAGATTAACATCAACTCTGTAGCCAGCACCTATGGTATACTTGTAGATGGCCTATCATTATTTACTAAAATCTATCACAGCTGATCCCCTATAATTATTCACTCCGACTTGTTATCATATTCATAGGTCCCCTATCATTATTCTAATGATAATGTTACCATAGCATATCTGTCATTATCTACTCACCTCTTACCATAGATCATCTATTGTTGTTCACCTGGACATGTTACTTGTTACCATACAGACACAAAGATGAATAGCCAATAGAATGGCCAACTAGACACATGGTTCCCATTTGCTACTGGGATTAATAACGCTTCATGAATCAAATCGAATGATAAGATTCAAAAAAAGCAAAGCTCTCCGACTAGAAAACTAAGACCCTTACCCCCATTGTATATCTCAAGCTTTCTAGGGCACTAGGCTGACATATGACTAGCAGATTCTACGGCACTCGGTTAGTCATTTACCATGTAGCTCAAACTTCCTAGGGCACTCGGCTAACATGTGATTCAAATTTTCTAGGGGACTCCATTGACACATGCCCCCTGATCCTTCAAGAACCTGAAACTTCTATTATTGAATCTCTTTCTAGTTATTGGATGGAGACTGTGAATCCAGAAAGGAAGGATACCAATGAGCTTGAATCCACATACACTTGCTGGGTGATGGTCAAAACCAAGCGTATATCCTAGTATGAGATCAAAGAGACCCAACAACATGAAACCAAAGAAGACAAATTGAATGGATAACTATATATCCAGCATCCTATATTGAATTTAACAACCCATGTAAGGAAGCCCTTCATAGGCAACCCAAACTCAATATACATGGCCACATGACCACAACAGGCAAATGCAGAGTAGTAGTAAAGAATAAACACAAGCCAATTACCATATCACAACCGCACATAACACACTAGTGACATAAACATTAAATAAGTATATAGGAAATTGAAGTTAAAGATTCAGGTAAATCTTGTCAAAGTGTGTGATAATGGATATAACATCAAATGTTTCTTTGATTTTCATCTAACTTGATAAGTAATAGTGATTACTGAAACAGCTGGGGTTCCGTTATTGTGTATATAAGTCGAAGAGGAGTTCTGAATAGTAACATCAGCTCATATTTATTCTATCTAAAGAGACATGTAACATACTCATTTCTTGATTCTACGGATTCTCTTAGACCCCCAAACCTCCAATCTACCAGCTGGACATCCACATGGTGCTCGGAAAATAAGAACAGTCCGGCCATTAACTGGTGCCATCTTCTTCAATTCTGCCTCCAGCTCCTTGTGATCCTGCCCTAATTCCAATGGCTTCACATCGTTATCCGCTGTTCCTCCTGAGGACAGATACTTAACACACTCTTCCGACTCCAGCTGGATATCGAATTCAACAGCTTTACGCAGTCCTTTACAATTAGGTTTTCCACATTTCCTTGATTTTACTTCAAGTATTTCCCAAGCAGCGATGGTAGCGATCACTCCACTGAACGCCGCGACTACTCCAACGACATATGCGATTGGGGCATCCGAGATTACTTCTTGGATAACGTCACAAACTAACGGGAGAATCTCAATGGCTTCACGATATATAATATTGATATACGGTATGATTAAAAATCCAAGTGCTCCAAGCACCAGAATCAGCATAAGAATATCCAGGGCAGCGAATGGGGATCGGTCGCAAAAAGGGTGCGATAAGGGATTAACAGAATTGGAAGCGTTATTGAACTTCTTATTGTTCCGGGAGTGATTGTTGCTATTCGTCGGCGTCATATTCTTGTGTTGTTCGAAAGCTCGGCAAAATTCAATCAAGCTACGGCAATCAACCATCGGCAATCTCATATTCCTTCCACGATCTCCGTCTCAAATCCCCGTCTGCTGCCCGATCTATCTCGATCTCAAAAAACTCAATTCCTTACCACCGATCACCAAACAAATTCCAACCCAAAACCAGATTACTGATTCACCTCGATTCGGTGAACCGATATAGAAATTGATAACCTGATAACAAAAAACATACAATCTCAAACTTGGACGATCATCAGAAATTCAGACGAAACGAAACAAATCAATTTCGATCCGATCAAAAGAGGGATTCACACGAACGCCTGTAACCATAAAACAATCCACGCCAATCAGATCAATTTCAACAAAACTAAAGCTGATCAACAAATGAACGCCATCGATGATCAAATGATTGATGAAAATGGGAAAAAGAGGAAGAGATCGACCTCGAAATTTGTGCGAAATGGAGCGATTGAAATGGAAGAAGTCAGCGAAGCTGCAGGTAAAAAACTTGAGGATGCGTTGATTTCGAGGATAGATCGGAGGAAGAAGGATAAAAAGCTGCAGAAATATATATTCATCCATGCCCTTGTAGTATGCCAAAATGGCAAAAGTCCCCCCTTTACTATTATCATTTTATTTCTTTTTGTGATTAACTTCAAAAATAAGCTAATGATGTATTTGATTTTGTCGGTTTAGATCGTAAAACGTTAGCTAACCTAGCGAGTTTGGGTTATTAGAGTATCTTTAATGGAAGGTTTTTATAAATAATAAGTGCACTGGTAGATAAGAATCATCATTAGAAATAGTTTTTATAAGACATGTATATTTCTGGAGTTTTTGTACAAGAATCTTGGTTCTTACCTTAAATTTTATAAATAAACTGATATTTCAACAACAATAATACATATATAAAATATCATTTTATTTTATTTTTTGCCATGTCATTATTAGCTCATCAGATTAAGAACTGCATTTTTTTTAAGAACCTTTCATTAAAAATGGTTTTAGAAACTAAAATTATCCTATTAATAGGTTCAGTCAGCCTGCCAATTTGACCCAAATTTTAACTGAAGACTAAAGAATTCAAACATTTGTATTTTTCATGCACTGACAATTAGGCATCTATGATTTGTATGGTTTGCTTTTGTTGAAATTATCGATTTTTGTTTCAAGCACGTAATAATTGATTTCTTTTGAAAATTTCAAATCGACCAATTCATTATATAATTATCAAATCAACCAAATTATTTCGATTTGAAACGGACCGTCAACGCTTATATTTTTTAAATTAATTAATTTTTTGTTTCTCTTTGTAAATTGATTTTGTAAAAACATAGAGAAAACTGTACTTTACAATAACATGCCATTTTGAGTAATCTGAAATCTCAAGTAAAAAAATTAAGTCAAGTTTAATAGTATGTGTTCAGTTTTACACAAATAACTGTTTGTTTTTAACCGAATACTAGATATAATGTTTCTAAGTTGATGGTTCTTATATTCGGTGTTCTATCATGAATAACTAACAAACTTGATGTACTCTGAAGAGCTATTGCTTTAATATAGTTTGTAACGACTTAAATTTAAAGCATATGATTAACCTAAAAATCTCAAAATAAACTTGGAATATTGTGAAAAATATCAGTAATTTATAACTTAATGTTTATAAGAAGTTCACAAGTTTCACTAAATATGGATGTCAGAAAAGTTATCACATTGGATGTATTTGGTATTTGAGATAGTACAATTTACTGGTAGGGGTGCTAAAAAACCCACCAACCCGGCCAACCAAACAGTACTTACGCACAATCTACTTGCAATCTTGAGTTTTAAATAATATGCATTAATAAACAGTACTTTACGCATAAAAAGTGGTTTTTAAGAGTTTTTTGTCAAATGCTTTATAATATAGTATACATACATACATACATACATACATACATACATACATACATACATACATACATACATACATACATACATACATACATACATACATACATANCATACATACATACATACATACATACATACATACATACATACATACATACATACATACATACATACATACATACATACATACATACATACATATATCTATATATATATATGTGCAAATTAAAAAGAGTAGTTGAATGTAATATACTTAAAATTTAAGAAGTATGGATTGTTCAAATATATTCAACCCAATCAAGCCAACTCATAAGTATCCCTAATTACTGGTCATTTGTGCCACAAAGACGGGCCTAAACTTGAACTTGTCACCTGAAACACCTCCTATAGCAACATAAGTTTACGTATTTTTAGTAATATACAGAAAACCTCCATGTACCCTTTAAATTTCTCCCAAATAGGTGTTTCTACGATAATACAAAAATAAACATTGTATAAATTTAAATTATCAACAGAATAAAAAGCGCATCAGTAAAAACCAGTAACTTTTGGTGTTGGGTTTTATGTATTTGCATGATCACTCTCCCAAACACAAAATTCACTTAATTAGAAAATTGAATTGCTGGGCTATATTTCATGTTTGTTCTATTTATGCAACATTTTCATATCAATAGTATCTGATATCATCAAGTTAGAAAACTCGATCTGAATGATGTATTAATTAAAACAAAAGTCTCGAGTAGAAATATGGATCCTGTATGGAACACTTTCTGGAAGTAATATTTCACAGTATTTGATTTACATGAATAATCCAAATTCGCACTCGATATACTGAAGTAAAAACTCGAGAACATGCTCTAATGTTTTTATATATTCTTTTTTAGATTAAATCTTTCAAAAATTACTAGTCAATGGATGGTTATTTTGATGTTCAAACAATTAGCAATTAATTACTAATAAATAAGAAAGAAAAACGATTAATCCGTATCAAATTAGAGTTAGTTCAGAAGTTAGGGGGTGTTTGGTTAGAAGTATTAAGTATTAATCAATGAAATAAAAATAGAGGAAATTGTTTGATATTATCTATACTATATTATAAAACATTTGACAAAAACTCTTAAAAACCATTTTTATGCATGAAATATTGTTTATTGATGCATATTACTTAAAAAAATTCAAGATTACAAGTGATTTTGCATAAGTACAACTTATTAAAGTTTCATTTTTAAATTTGTGTAACTAACTGCAGATAAACATAATCAAATACAAGACAAACATATTCTTTTAAATATATAAAATCTAAAATATAATTATGATAATCATTGAGTTTCTAACCGAATGTTTAGTTATTATCTTTAATAGAAAATATATTATTAAACCAAAAATAAATTACTTTGTTATTAGACTTAAATTAAATTATAATAAAAGATTGAAATTAAAGATGTTACACCAAAAAAACGAAAACTATTAAATAGTTAATTTAATACTAATATCGATTTTATTTTTAATTTTTGTATGTTATCTTCAAATTTATATTTAATTCAACAATAAAAACATTATCGCTTTCTCAAAACCATATAAAATCATATTATATCGACAAAGACAAATAATAAAAACTAAACATTAAAATAGAGATTTATCTCGCTCTTATTGCACGCGTATCCTTCTAGTATAATATAATGAGCTCATTCCCCAGACCCAGAAGTCTAAATTTTCATTCCAGATTAATCTGAAAAAAAAAATGAAAATTCAAATAAAAAATTTATTCCTATTTTCATTCACTCTTATTTTCATTTGGTATGAATCAAATATCCTCTTAACATTGTAAGGCCATTTTTGAAAAAGGTGAGCTTGTGGTGGGACATTTGTTTGGTTTTACAAGATGCGTTGGTGAAGGGGGCAAAAGTAGGAAAAATGAAAATAGAGGGTTCAAAATTAAAAATAGAGGTTACTGAGAATTTGGTAATGATAACGGAGTGTGAAGGCACGCAAACGTGTGAAAAGCGCCGTGGACGAGTGTGATAAGAATTCACACGTGTCGCCTTGTGATGGATCAAGGGCTGATTCAACCTCCTCCCGCTTCTTTGCTGGCCTCTCGTCAAATTTACTAAATTTTTCCAAACCGCATAAATCGTTCACATCATATTGTGAATATATGGTTTAAAATTTTTATGCTGCGATTTATATTTTATAAAGGGAACATTTACTTAAATACTTATTCGGTAGGTGCTTATTGATAAGAGTCAACATTATAATTTATTTTATTAGATAAGATTGTAATATATTAAAACGGTATCGTATGCAACAATTTACCTGGTAAGCGCTTACCCGAGTAAGAGTTCTCACCATCACTTACCGGGTAAGACTCTCTATCCCTATCATCGCTCTTACCGGGTAAAATTTTCAGCCCTTGCCATGCGCATCAAGTGAGGAAAGTTACCCGATCTACACTTACCGGGATAAGTATTTAATAAACGTCCCTTGAATTGTATTATACGGCATTGTATGATTTACAGTTTTGATTTATTAAACCATATAAAAATATGTAATTTAGTATTTATGTAATATTTTTAACCTTTGAGTTTGATCCAATTGACAATCTGATGTAGTGAAACTATTTATTTTTTTATAATGTATTTTTAAGCTTATAATTATTGGATTGTAGATATAAAGTGCGATAGAGACAAACATCATAAACTACAAACAACAACGACCCTATCCATTAATTTCAAAAAACAACAACGACCAAATTTATAAGGGTTGATTTAACCTCTACCCGCTTCCTATTGGGTCTATCCTCAATTTTACAAACATTTCTAATATAATATTTTATAATTTTTTTAATAAAAAATAGAGTAAACTATGGTTGTTGTGGTACGTTTAGATTTGGTCCTTTTGCACAACGACCGTTAAAAAGTTTTGCTAAAACAGAGGCATTTTCTTTTTCTTTTTTTATTGGTTTTTTCTTCTTCTACCTAATCAAAATCGATTTTATGTTATGGGTGAATGTGGTTTTTAATTGGGTAAAATACAAAATAATAAAACAACAAAAATGCCCCTCATTTGGCAAAATGTTTTAAATTTTAACGGCCGTTAGAGAGATTGAAGGAGGGACCAAATCTGAACGTTTTTGCAAATTATAATGATTATTTTGTAATTTTAAAACTGTAGAAATAAAAAGTGCTATTTTTGATAAACAAGAGGACCAAATTTGCAGTTTACACTACAATATAACATTAAAAATGAAAAAATAAAATAAAAGATATTACACTAACTTTATAACTATTTTTTATTTAAATTTTTTTACTATATATTTCATTATTAAAATATTTTATAAATGTATTAACTCAATATATTTATTATAATACTTTGTAACGATTATAACACATTCAAATTTACTAATAAGGCTTAGTCTTAGGAACCGTTTACTAAACACTTACTTAGTAAGTGTTTAATGCATAAATTTTCTCATTGAATGAACATGAGAAGGGTCAAGAATCTTATCGGGGTAAGATTATGGAGAGTCTTATCCGGTAAGTGAGGATGACGACTCTTACCCAGGTAAATGCGCACCCAGTAAATTGTTTAATTTGATATGTTTTGATGTACTAAAATCTTACGCATCAAAATAA